GTGATATAGTAAATTAGTTTGCAGCAATAATTATCTTTGTATGTATCAATTAAAATTTCATAATTAAATTAACTTTATATGAATAGAGAATTATTTGTTAAATTCAATTTCATTCTTTGCAGCAATGGCCATGAGAATTATTTAAATTTAACTTTACTTTTATTCTTATGAAACAATATATATATAATTATATATATATACAGTCAAAATCGTTAATCCGGACTCGTAGGGACTTCGGCGATTCCGGATTATAGATTATCAGTTTAAATCTGGTAAGATGGCATGCAAAAATTACAAAATTAAAAATATGAAACCGTAATTTATGAAATAAAGAACAATTATGATCTAAAGGGTATCAAAATTTACAAAAAGAAAAAGCTCAATATTATTTGTTTATTAAACATTTCCTTCAATGTAAGTTGCTTCGTTTTTTCATGTGATAATACATTCTCTTTAATTCTATTAAACAGACATAATTTCTTGTTTACTTACAAAGTTCCGCTGTTCAAGTCCTATAATTGCTGTGTTGAGAATACCGACTAATTTGTCAATCGAAATGTTTTCGTTTTCAATAACCTCTGGGTCACTTTCTTCACTATCGGAAGCGAATTATAATGACGAGGAATTTGATTTAAATCATATCAAAGACAGAATGAAATACTACACTTAGTATGGAATTATAAACCAAATAAAATAAAAACATCTGCCCTGAAGATAGGATAGTGCTGACAAATCAACTTCCAATCCGCCGCGTGAAATTGATAAACAGATTTCGGATCTCAAAACATACTTTCGCTTTGTAGATACAAATTAACATATAGTAAATATATATCGGAAATTCTATTTGACATAATCTTTCTAATCTATCATAATCTAATAATGACGTTTCTGCCCCCCCCCCTCTGCCGCAGAGCAGCGTGAAATTGATAAACAGATTTCGGATTTCAAAACATACTTTCGCTTTGTAGTAAATATACATCGGAAATTCTATTTGACATAATCGAAAGTTCAAGCTTACTTTTATAAATTGCTCTAACAGTCTGCAAAAAATAATAAGCCGGATCCAATTCGAAGATTAAGGAACAACGCAATCGGCAACATTAACTGAATTAGATAACTTTAGCTTAGCGTGTAACTCCGTTACAATTTAAACGCGCATGCGCACAAACATATTCGCAGCCGTAAGGGTCTTACGCGCTCTCATAAACGCCTGTGCGCATGCGCAGAAAGTTTGTAGCTTTGAGGTCCGGATTATAGATCATTCCGGATTATGGGTGTCCGAATTAACGACTTTTGACTGTATTCTGTAACTGTAGGGGGAAAAACCATGAATTTTTCTCAGCTGTTTAAACAGTTCCCATGTATAAAATAGTATTTCATCCCCCAAAATATTAGTTAATTTTCTCCTAATGTATAATGTCTTGCCTGTTTGTACAGTGTGATTAATGTCAATATACACATTCATAAATCTCTTATATGAAAAGTTATTGCAGACTTTCACATAACTATTAATAACTTGGTGACATACCTTACTTCCGTAGACCATGATCAGAATTAAATAAACTTATAAGGTTATCATACTAAATTACACGAAAAGCAGCATGACATAAATAAATACAAAGAAATTAAATGTATTTACTGTACTAATAGATTATTATATTACATGACATTGGTTTTGCCCATGTATAATGGTAATGAAAGCCAGTTTTCCATAGAAAGTCCTCTACAGAGGCATCTGTTTTCTTAAGCAGATTGCTTTTACCACATTTCAGTGACCTTGATTTAAGTATGAAACTGGATAATATTTTCTTTCTGCATGAAATGTGTTAACTGAGTTTTAGAAATATAAGCCATCTTGCAGTTACTGTGATAATACTAATTTTTGGTACCTCCATATTATACCATCAACCATGAAAGTTGTGCTAATTACTGCTGTGGAATTCTGAGCCAGACATTTGTATACAGCAGTTACAACAAACCATACATCAGTCTCTCTGCAGAATACATGAAATAACCCTGCTGTGAAAGTATTGGACCCACTTCGTGAAAAAAAAACATTCGTTCATTACTACTGTTTTATTTGCGGTCAAATTTTACCTAAAAGCTCATTTTAGAATGCTATGAATACAAGTTGTCCACAGGTAATTGTTCCAATTTCTTACTGTTTTTGTTCGCTATTTCCACATACAGTAGATGTTAATTCTTTCGACCAGCTGTAAAAGAACTGGAGTGCAATCACAAATGTGATTCTACCTAGCTTACCAAGAATTATTTTGGGTTACATACAAATGAAACCGCAGATGTTGCGAGTGTGGTGATATTAATTTTTGTTTTGTCTTCATTAACCGGAAAAATAAATTTTCCATTAATGGGTGAAAAGGTAAGAAATATATGATAATAAGTATAATATTATAGTCATTTCAAATTACTGCAAGAATGTTTCATTATTATTCAAATAATAATAACAAAAAGCTATCTATACTATAATTATAGTGAAGTATAGATATTAAATAATACAAAATATTAAATAAATTTTAGAATCACCTATTTACTATAATTACTACAATTTAATAAAGAAAGGGTAGCTGTAATGTTTTTTTTTTTTTTTTTGTGTGTGTGTGTTGTGTTTGTTTTAACGTTTTATTGCATATTTTTTAATGATGAAAAAACAGGGACATATTTTTGTTAAAAATGGAAAGTAAACTCCTTAAAAAGACTGATTTATTAATATATCAACTATATTTAATGTTAAAAATCTGTATATTAAAATTTCAGATGAAACTTTCTTTTGACTTAGGATTTATGTTTTTCTAGGTATGGAATGCTGGCCTGAGGGTTCTCTATGCTATAGGACAATGGCCAGGCAATACTCATGATGCATTTATATGGAGTGACTGACTGAAACAAAATCTAGATAGTATTTTGTCGCATCGTGCATATCTTTGGGAGATAGTGGATTATATTCCCATTTTATCACGGGAATATCTCTATAATGAGAAGCACAGAAAAGTTCGTGCAGCTATAGAGATCAAATCAAGATTTAGGGTACTGCACGATACTGGTGGAACACTATTGTATTCACAAAGCAAAATATGTAAAATGGTCATATCTGGTGGCCATTTTACATAATATATGCTTAAGGTATTGTGTTGAAAATCCTGAGATTGATGTGTTTGAAGATGATGAGTTGGTACCTTCAGAAAGTTTTCAGTTTTCAGTGCATGTTGAAATTGCATTGCACAATGAATTATCTTTAAATTTTGAAACTCGATAATAAAAAACCCAAAGTGGGCAACAATGAACCTCTGGCAAAGGTGAAACCCCCTTCATGGATAATAAAGAATATATTATGAAAAAAATTACTTTCATAATATATTCTTGGGGACCCACAAGCCATGGTTTATATTTAAACCTGTAACTAAATGCACAACCCTAAATGATTTTAATTTATAATAATAATCCTAAATAATTTTATTAGTCCTGGTTTCAAATGCATACTGACAACTTTTATCATTATTGTTCTTCCCTCTGAATTTCTTGTTTCCATCATTTATGTTTAAAAACTCTTGACTACCAGAAATAACTTAATAGGCTTGATATATATATATTTTAGTGTTGGGTATGCCAGTCATGATTTACAATAGTAAGTCACTATAAATTAGCATTGCACTTAATTTATCTTAAACTTAGCAATAAGATTTACTGCACCGAAATTCAGTTTCTTCCAAAAAGTCAAATGTTTCCCTTTCGTCCCCTTCCGTGGGACAAGATAGAAAATTTCCATGTGACAATACACATTTAATAGCATAAGAACTTCATGCTTATTTATTATAGTATAAATTAAAACTGACATATTCTGTCAAAGATATTTAAATGTATTTCCTAAAAACAATTATTTCACTCTATACTGTTTATGTCTTCTTGGGGGTGGGCAAAACAAATATTGGACAGTTCAATTTTCCTCCACCATTCCTGTGAGCGTATTCTTCGATTAAGCAGGGTTTTGCTCCAATTCCTGATTAGCATAATATGTAAAGAATAAACAGCCTATGATTTATGCCTCCATATCCTCTTGTATTATTTAAAGAACATACATTTTTCCTTTTAATTCTAGATTTTAAAACATTAAAGTAAGGGAAAGATTGTTTGCTGAATTTAGATTTATATCATCATTACGCATTCACTATAATAACTTACTGCATACTTACCTCAGTGGGTTTGCCATTAAAAGAAATACATTTAAGTAAAATCATGAGTGTATAATAAATTGTTTTTCAGCCAAAAAAAAAGAGAAGGGGGAAAATAAATACAGTTTGATTCACTTACTTTTTAGTACGCGACTCAACATTGTTATTGTAAACTAGACATTAGCCATACTTTAATAGTTGTCATCTCTGTATTTTTAGAACTTCGAAATTAGAATGTCAATTTTATCTGCCATTGTTATGGAGCTGTAGGATATCGAATGTTATTTCTTCAATGATAAAAAGAAATGAAATTTTTAATACCACATCTCATTCATATAACTTATTAACATAATTGAAAAAACAATTTAATTCATTTCGTGTTATATCTGAAAATTAAAATTTGTAATACATTGACTAAAGATTCTTACAGGTCTTATTCCCATTTTCCTCCAGGAAAAAGATAATTGCTGTGTAAAATGCATAAATATTTTCACGAGACTTATAATAGTGGTATTAGAATTATTATAATGTTTATGTCATATAATGGATTTGTGAATTTCTTTTAAATAATTTTTATAATCACAAAATTTTATAAAATTAAGAAAGTAGTAAATTTTACAATTAAAATATGAATCCCACACTGCAGAAATACATACAAGAATGAAAACACTGTAATATTTGAAATGCATGATTTATTTTTTTAATAAATTAATAATTATATTTTGATTTTCTATGACAGCAGACTGATTTGCAACTGATTGCTTATACAAGTCACATATTTCACACAGTACATTAATATATTCTTCTGCGTTTTTTCAATTATTTCCTTTTCTGCAGCTGTAATATCATCTCTCTTCCTTTTTTCTCTTCGGTCTCCTGCTTCGAATAGTTGAGCTTCTATCTGAGGGAAAATTTTAAAATATTCATTCAAATTCAAATATTCTTAATTTTTATATTTCATAATGTAAAACACTTTTTATAATTAATTAAACAATGAAACTTCTCTAAAAAGGAACAATTCATAATATTGATTTCTTTAACTTTCAATTTTTTTCCCTTTATAATTTTTAAGACTGTTTATAGATCAAGAGGATTTAATGATTATTATTTTAAATTCTTAAAATCTTGTTGTTAATAAAAGACATACTCTGTATATAATGTTCGCAATAAAGAATTGAAATAACTCTTTTGTATGAGAAATATTAATTTACATCTGTTATAATTAATTTATACCAGCGGTTCTCAGCCGGTGGTATGCAAAGAAACAAAATATTTTTAACTATGAAATTCAAAAATCTCATAAAGAAAAGAATAGTTAATAGAAATTTCCTTTGATCGAAATTGACTTGAAGATTTGGAAAATGACACACTTGTTAACTTTTGGCTGAACCGAAAAAAAGAATTTAAAGGCATTTCAAATAAAGCTATCAAATTTGTATTGTCTTTTCGCACAACCTGTTTGTGTGAAAAATGATTTTTTCCATGTTAAATTTGAAATATAAATACTCATCAAAATAAAAAGTGGATCCTAATTTACCATTAAATGAAATAAGAGCAGACATAAAGAAATTAAATATTAAAGTATTATAACTGAAATTTTGATAATCAAGTGAATAATTAATTTAATTAAATTTAATTTTGATAATTAAGTAATCATCAGTTTTTAATCTAATAGTTCTTTATGTGTACATATTTAATACAAAGAGTGTGCAAATGGCAATATATATTATATATATATATGTTTTTAATATTTCTATTGAGGAATTGAAAAATAATCATTGTAAAATTAGTGGTAGTCTTAATGTTTTTCAGTTTTTGCTTAGATGGTACACTACAGTCAAAAGGTTGAAAACTGCTGATTTATACCATTAAAGTTTTTCTGTTGGGAGGAAAAGGAAAAGAAGAATGCAGAAAACATTAGATTTTATGTAATAGATACAAACTTGTCATTCCTAAATGCCATTGCAGATTTCCTCGTGATAAAGGTGTGGAATTTTCTAATGTAAAAAAGAAAAAAGCATAAAATAAGCACAATTTACTCAACAATCTTGACTGAAATATACATGCTTTCAGAGATAGCATAAAGCAAGAAAAGTTTACTCAACAATCTTGATTGAAATATACATGCTTTCAGAAAAGAAATAATATACAAAGCATACTGCATAATCAAAGTTATGAGTTTTATATACTATGAGATACTATACATGTTTATAATATACCACGTTCCTGTACACCTAACACCTCGTCCACAATTTTCTATACAATTCATTAAAGATAGTTCCTGAAACATAACTGACTTAAGAGAAACATGCATACTTCTAATTTATGCACAATAATTTGACAAACATTGATTTCAGGTAAAGAGCTACATGTATTATATCAAAGAAAGAATGAATAAGTGTAATTTGCCTTTATCCTACAAATACTTAAAAACATTTACATTAAAAAAATGAATTATACATAATGGTAGCAAATTTTTAATGAAAAACAAAACAAGAGTTGAAAACTTAATGCAGTTTTTGTCAATATTTTACTCTCTTAAAATTTATATAAATGTATAGAAACTTGAAATGCATACCGCATTTGGCTGGAAAACTTGTGGTATTGTACTGCACTCTAGGGAAAGGGAAAAAAGTATACAATGAAGCAATCATAAGAATAAAAGATATTTGCATATTATTGAAACCAGCTTAATAAAAAAGTTACCAAATTTTCAAAAATGTGCCAAACTCTGGACAACGATTATGTATCAAAATTTTTCAGGTAACATGCTCATGACAATTTTTCATTCAAGCAATGTCACCATTTTCATATGTGTTTCTTATGTTGTATTTCAAGTTCCAATGGATTTTAGATACGAATAGTTGTTTTAGATTAATTTCAGATTTAAAATACTGCTTGTGGAGCTTACCATCAAAAGACGAAGCTGTGTTAAAAGTTCTGCAGGAATAGAACATTTTAGTACAAAAATTTCTAATGGAAACAACTATGAGATGAATTTGGTACATAGACAAGGCATGCAGTATCAAGTTTATGTAATTCTCTTATTTTTTTTTTTAAGTGAAAACAGATCACTTGGCACAAGTGCTCAAAATTTAGACAAAAAATTTGTGGAAAATATATTTTTTTTAAACTATCATATAATTTTTATTTAATAATTCAAATTAGTATTTTAAAATTTGTTAAATGTTTTTTTCCTTTGATATGTTGATAACATTTTGCCAACTTAGATAAATATTGATAGTTTGGTTATGCTAAAAGCAAGCTGCAAAAACAACGTACTTCTCCTGATAAGTATTTTTCTCTTTTCATTTATAAAGACCACCAAACTGATCCAGGTATTTGTGTTAATACGTTAAGTACCAAAAAATATTGAAGAATGCACAATGAAAGATGGCAACCAGTATGGTAAAAGATATAATTAATATATGCAATGAAAGAAATCTTATTAAAAGACGACTTTCATTATCAGCAGAGAAGCATGACACACTTACAGTAAAGAAATTAAGCTTTTGTTTCTGCACTTGTAGCTTTTAATAGCCAAAAATTGTTTTTTGAAATTTTATGAAATAAATAAATCTGAACATAACTGATATCAAATGAGAATGGGTCCAAACTTTCACTTAAGAAGCAGAAAGTGTACTGTAAATGCACAATATAATGAGCAGAACACAAAGCATAATTTATAAATTAACCTTTACTCTGGATGTATATATTACATTAATATCACATTAGAATTATCAGGGTTTCATATAATTTTTTATTTATTGTATTACATTGAAATACCTTTAATTTCATTTTTATATTTTCCCAACGATGTACAATATAAATCTAAAATTGCTCTTAACTGTTTCATCACATAATGAATGTCTAAGGGAAGGAATGCCTGCGTGGAAGACTAAGAAAACTTAGTATTCATGTTATACATTGAAAAAATGAAGAAAACACTCATGCAGCCAGCTTTTTCACCTGGATTTAAAGAGAGACTGGGATAGCGGTGTTCAGCAGGCTTATCTGCTTGTAGATAGATGGGCTTATTAATTACTATAATTCAAGAACTAGTTAATTTTCATATGGTAAACATGCCTACTGTCACTGAAGAATCATGCATCTGCATTAAACAATAAAAATATAACACAAATTTGAATTTTAAATTAAACTTACTATTAGAAGAATTAAAACCAAATGCTGTAATTTGAAAATGGGAAAAAAATGTGGTTTATATTTGAAAAAGCAAGGATTTTTGTCTGAAAAGTAAAATATATTTTACACACACCTGTTGCTGTAGATTACTTTGGAGGGAATTTTCTACAGGATAAAGTAAATAAATAAAGTTGTACACACACATTAAAAGAAATATATTTCTTTCGTTTTCAGGACTGGAACAATTCGTTACACCACACTACAACGCAGTAAACACTTGACCATAAGCTCAGAGAAATCATGGGAACTGATGTTTTTTGTTTACATCGACACGCAGTCTCATTGGATATTGATGTAGTTTATCGGACAAGCTCTCCTGGCACGAGAGCAAACCAGCTCCCCATTGCAATTTTGACGTCATCAGTTACCAGAGCGGTAAAGCGTTGCACTTGAATTCGACTTTAGCAGACGATAGCAGGAACGCCTCTTGCGAGCTAACATTTGCAATTTATCAGAGCGTTGCACTTGAATTCGCCCCTAAAACATAACCGCTCTAATCCGAACAAGTATGGCTGGAGTACGAGAAGCTTTACCACGTGACAAAACAAATGACGTCGAAAGCTCTATGTTACATCTAAATTCTTCTAACCAATAGCAGCGAAGCAGTTCTCACAGCAGTAGGTACAGCGAGTACGTTTTAGGAACATGCAACCCTCCCTCCTTCTATTCTAACCTCCTTGGTTTTTACTCCGTGACTCTTGCTTTTAGAACACAAGGAGTTTAGAACATCGTGAAATGACGGCTAAAAACTATATTTTTATGCTGGTATCATTCAACGTACAGTAGGGAGAGGGGAAATTATCTTCTGTCTGAGATAGTAAATGATTGATAAAGTTAGATTCCAGGGAAGAAGTATTATGTTAGGTCATGTTATTAGCGAACAGTCCTCTTGTATCTAATAGCACTAATTTTCTTAGATTATTTCCCTTGACTTTTGTTTGACTGAGGATTAAGAAAAGAGCTTTGAATAAACTGAAGTCAGTGGTTCATATAAAGGTGGAATGTGTGTGTGTTTATGGCAAAGCCTCGAGGGCTATCTGCCTAAGAGGAGGGATGCCTTCGTGGAGGACTTTCTAAGGGAAACTGGCTCGTATACACGTTACACATGGGGAAAACCACGAAAACACCCATGCAGCCATCCCGTTCGCGGGATTCGAACCTCGGACCAAACTACCAGTGTTCAGCGACTTAACCGCTCGGCCGCTGGTGGGCCTAAAGGTGGAATGATATATGAGGGTAAGCGGATTATGATTTCACAATAATGTTAAATAGACAGTGGCAACAAGTCTTAGAGAAGTAACTGTAACCGTTAATAAAATATTCCCGCCAAACCGAATAAATTCATTTTGTGTACATTGTGTAATTTCGTTGAGAGGTGTCTGTGCTAATTAAATACTTAGTCTTTCCTTTAGTTGAAGAATTTACAGTCATTAACAAGCAATGGATGTATGTTAATCAGTATTATTTCTTATTTTATTTAATATTGTTTAGTTTCAAGCTTTATTTAAAATATATACCAGACTGTGTCAAAAGAATAATTCATTAATTTTCTTGCATGCATTTTTCAATTGTGATTTATTGTATGTCTGTAAATCTGAAGTAGTATATTTCATTCTTCTTTGCATTTTTAATATTAATCTAAAGTTGGATAAAAGCATAAAAAAGGATTCTTTTAAAAAAGAAATTCGTCTCAACTTAGAGGAAGTTGATAGGCTAGGGGTGTTAAAAGTAGTAAATAATTATGCTAATTTAAAGTATGAGTAAATAATAATAAAGTCTGATAGATGTTATCGATAGAAAGGTGAGAAATAGGTGTAGTTTCTTATAGTTTGTATTCTTAAAAAAAAAAAAAAAAAAAAAAAAAAAAAAAAAAAATAATGTCTTGCAAAATTACTTGCTAATTGTTTTGTTGTAATCTAACAATTTGTTTCCTGGAATTGAGATTGTATTTGTTTGGAATATAGTTTAATTATATTTGTTTTCTTCATTTCTGTTTAATATCATATAGTATCATATATTTTCCATCATTTTTACATTCAGAAAATTTTTATTAAGTTACCTACTTTAGCTCTCAGTACTGATATATTTCTATAATTTAACAATCGCGGGCCCCACCAGCAGCCGAGAGGTAATATCACTGAACACTGGTTGTTCCAACCTTGTTTCAATTCCAGGTGAATGGGCTGGCTGCATGGGTTTCTGTTTTTTCCTATGTGTAACATGTATACGAGCCAGTTTCTCTTAGTCCTCCACTAAGCATCCTTTCCTTTAGGCATATAGCCCTAGTGTTTGTCCAAGTAACAACTTCATTAAACAGATAAAAGATATTTTTCTTAACACTTTCAAAGATATTAAACTCTTTTGGATGAAGAGTCATATTGGGACTATTGGTAACAAGTTAGCAGATAGATTGGCAAAGGCTGCCTTTGAAAATCAATTTATTGATTTTGAAGTAAAGACTTCCTATGACAATTTGAAATCCTCGTTGAAAAGAAAAGTTTGACTCTTTGGCTAGCAAAGTGGAATGACCCAGAATCTAAAGGAAGATTCACATATAATTTAATCTCAACTGTGAGAGAAGATGCCTATGTGACAGGTATCTTAACCAAACTTTAAATAATCATGGACATTTTCCATTTTATTATAATAGATTTTCAATTAAAAATTGTGCCTGTCCTTGTGGCGTCAGTAATGTCGATCTTCAGCACTTGTTATTTAGATGCTCTTCTATGAAAAATATTGTTCTAAGATTTATTTCAAATCTTGCTAAATTTAATACTCTAAAGGATCTATGTAAAAATACAGTGACTAAATTGAAATTGTGAAATTTCATAAAATATGTATCTGTACATGAAACAAATTTATATATTGATTGTGTTTAAAATTTTGTTTGTTTTAAGAAAGATTATGGTGTTTATGATAGTCTGTTAAAAACATATTTTTATGCATGTACGTAACGTGTTATATTTTGTTTTACGAAGTATGTAATAAAGTGTTATTTGTTTGTGTAACTGGTAAATCTCACCAGCTTCTAGACTTTAAGTTCATATTTTAATTTTTAATTCTATTTAAAGTTATTTCAGGTAGTATGTTGGTTGTTCTGCTTCTTATGGACCTGATTTAGGCCTTGTTTTAGATTTCGATGTTTCTATATTTAAGTAGCACCACTAAGCCCTGTTAAGCCTCTAATGGCAGTACAGGAAGTTCAGTCAGTCATATAGCCCTAATATGCTCTGACATAATCAATTAAACATAAACATATGTATATAATGCTACTGTAATTTAGGAGTTCCAAGTTTCTCTCTAAGCCGTGATTAGCACGCAGTAATTACATGCTGTGTAGGTAATTTAGGAATGAGGGAACTACTCACATATATGGCCTCGCTTGGTGACAAATTTCTCACCAAATATTTTTGTCGAGAAACTCCACAATGCCATATTACTATCTAAATGTTTTGTCTACATTTCAAACTTTAAGCCTAAAATGTCTCCAAAAAAATTTTTGCATGTGCAAAAACCACATTTTGAACACTCAGTTTAAGCTAAAAATTCGGAAAAAAAAAAAAAAAAAAAAAAATTAGATAGCAAAAACGCCAAAATTTCTAACCAAAAATATTTGACAAGAATCCATGTACACAGCAATATGTTTTAACTAAAAAAAAAAAAAAAAAAAAACCACAGAATTGCACAATCTATGCAGCAAAGGAATCTACAAACTACGCAGACCTAGCTTAAATAAATTAATGTAACAACAATAAATTACAAAGAATGCCATGTACACAGTGTTCTGTTTAAACTTGAAAAAAATCATCTACAAATTGCACAATCTAGGCAGCGAAGGAATCTACGAACTACGCATACCTTGTTTTAATAAATTAACATAACAATAAATTTCAAGAATACCATGTATACAGTGTTGTGTTTAAACTTTAAAAAACATCTATGAATTGTAAAATCTAGGCATTGCGCACTAATCAACAAAATAAATTAAAATAAATTTCAAATAATTCAAAAAAACAACAATAACGACATAAATTCATAATAAAAAGACAATGAACATAACATTCTACAAAATAAGATCATGGTTAGGTTAGGTTATTTAATTATGGCAAAGCCTCGAGGGCTATCTGCTTAAGGGGAGGGATGCCTTTGTGGAGGGCTTTCAAAGGGAAACTGGCTCGTATACACGTTACACATTGGGGAAAAAAAAAGAAAACACCCATGCAGCCAGCCTGTTCGCGGGATTCGGACCGAACTACCAGTGTTCAGCGACTTTACCGCTCGGCCGCTGGTGGGCCAAAATTAGATCAAGAATAAAATAAAATAAAATGCACTTACCATGAATGAATGCTTCTTTGAACAGCAGAAATACCAATTTCAAACATCACCAAAACAATTTCATAACAAATTTTTTAAAAAGCATCTCCTGTTTCAGAACAACAATGGAAAAATATATAAACCACCAAATAAAACACAAAATTGCATTTCTGATTATAAGTAGGCAATGTAGCTTTAACATGCCACCACGTAATCTCTCTATCGTACTTGTATGACAGCCACACTCACTATCCACAAAACTGATACTATCTTTCACAAATAAATGTTCAAAACCTTCTTCTCCTAAATACTTGTAGAATTTCCAGCCATTCGAAAAAATAGTTGTACCAGGCACCTGACTAAAAATTTTGCCAACATGTGTTTCATTATATCATAAATCACGAACCAACTGCAATTGAAACCAGTACAGTAAAATCCAAGTTTCCACATAAAAAGGTTTGCTATAGAAACCAACATTGCCCCCCCCCAAACCATCGCAGAATACGCAATTGCACCAAAAACCAGGGCACAACAGATATCGCTGCATTTGGCGACTTGAGGGCCCATATAACAGTAGTACCTGAATGAGAATCCAAAAAATACTAGCAGTTAATTTATGACTATGCTGGCATTGAGTAAAAAATGTGCTTTAGTATTTATGTCTATAAAGTATATGTACAAAACGTGTTTTTGTATTGATACAATACTATATTGTATAATCTTCTTATAACCCTTTTAATTAAAAAAATTAAATAAGAATTTATTGATGTAATTATTTATTCCCATTTCATGGATGTCCATGGCACTTTATGAAATATTAATTTCATTAATTAGAAAGCCTACGACATATACCACATTATACAAGCCTGTATGATAGATAAAATTGACATAAAGAAATACAGTCAAAAGTCGTTAATCCGGACTCGTCAGGACTTCGGCGATTCCGGATTATCAATTTTTCCGGATCATTTTAAATCTCGTAAGATGGTATGCAGAAATTCTAAAATTAAAAATATGAAACCGTAATTTATGAAATAAAAAACAATTATGATCTAAAGGTTATCAAAATTTACAAAAAAAAAAAAAAAAAGCTTAATACGAGTATTTATTTGTTTACTTTATTAAACATTTCTTTTAATGTAAGTTATTTAAGTTGCTTCATTTTATGTGATAATACTTTCTCTTTAATTCTATAAACAGACATAATTTCTTATTCAGTTACAAAGTTCCGCTGTTCAAGTCCCGTAATTGCTGTGCCGAGAATACCGACTAACTTGTGAATCGAAATTTTTTCATTTTCACTAACCTCTGTGTCACCTTCTTCATGTCTTTATCCATTTTTTGCAGCAATTCCACTTTTTGTTTGATGGACATCAAAACATACTTTCGTTTTGTAGATCCTTTGGGAGCTCCAGCATCGGAAATTCTATTTGACATAATCGAAAGTTCAAGTTTACTTTTATAAAATTGCTCTTACAGTCTGCAAAAAATAATTCAAATCCAATTCAAAGATTAAGGAACAATGCAATAATCAACATTAACTGAAATAGATAATTAGATAATTTTAGCTTATACCGTCCGTTATACACAAAACGCGCATGCGCACAGTCGTAAAGTCTTACGCGCACGCTTAAACGTCTATGCGCATGTGTCAACACGGCGCATGTGCAGAAAGTTTTTAGCTTTGAGGTCCGGATTATGGGTGTCCGAATTAACGACTTTTGACTGTAATAGGAAAATCATATAGCAAGAATTATAAAATATTCAAGGTATTGAAAAGTAGGTTGCATATCTTTTGTATTGTGTCCACTATAAATATTACACTGATGGGTTTCTTGTTTTAGTTTCACTTTTGCACACTTTTGTACTAGATAGTATATTCCTTAGAAACCTTTTGTTGGATTTTATATGTCCCCAAAAGTGTTACATGTATATTTGCAATTCAGTTTCAAGTTCAGATGTTTCTTTACTGTTGATATCTGTAACTCATCCATTTGTAAAGACTAAATGCTTTGTAGTTCTTCTAGAACCAATATTATTTAGTGATAAATTTGATTAACTAGACAGACAATCTTTCTAACTTTAAAATTCTGGACATAATTGTAAATCACAGACATTCCAGGGTGTTCCTGTCCATCTGATGATTATAAATATATTCCTCCCTTCATTCTCCCCTTGATTACTAGCTTCTTTTGGGATTTTTTAGAAGTATGCTAGTGGATAAGATTTTTTAACACTGGTGCTTGGCAAACAGGCTGGCTGCTTGAGGTTTTCATAATTTTCCCATGTCCAAAAGGCATTTCTTAGCACAGATGGCCCATGCTTTTGTAAATTCATTTATTTTATTTAGGAATTATTTGTGAAGCTTCTCAACAGAGAACCAAGTAAGCCTTTTCATTTTCTCATTTATGTCAGCCTATCAGTAGTTGACATTTGTCTGTATTTCTGCATTTAAAGTGAACTAACCTTATATTATCTTTAAGGTTAATGTAATATTTATTTTTTATTTTTTGCTATTTTGATTGTTTGTAAATTTAAAAAAATTCTATATGTTGTAAATTAATTAAACTTGTTTGACATTTAATTTATAGGATGTGTTAGAATTGCAAGTTAAATAATGATCATTTCTATATGTTCAATAAATAATTGTTTAGTAAGTATAACTGAATCTAATTTTGTACAAGTAAGATGTATTTTGTTTGTAGACTGACTCGACATCTGAAGTTAATGAGAATGGAATTGCGTCTCCGCGAAGTAATGCTTTAACTTCAAGTCCTGCACGAGATTTACCTGCTTTTGAAGATGAATCAGAATTAATTGGTGGCATGGGAGAGGAAGAACAAGTCATGGAAGAAGATGGAGAAGAACTGTTTGGTGATAATCTAGAAGCGTAAGTATATATAAACTGTACTTCCAGACCTTATGCTTTATTGTGATTTGTGTTGTAAATTTATTTTTATTACTGATATATTTTGCAGTTATTTTAGTTCCAAAATAAATACATATGGACTGATTAATAAGAATTTATTCAGTGTACAGTTAATTTAAATTGATCTTTGTAACCCAAAATCTCTTTAGACATTTGGGGTACTTTTTGAATATTTGCACATCTACCATAAAATTGTGAAAAGTCTTGATGAGGTAAAGCACTATGTAGCCAAAAAGTATTTATGTGGCAATCCAGGTATGTGCACAGCATATGCATGTTTGAGTACAAATTGATTTGCATTTTTAAAATTCAACATTAATTTTTCTTACTAGTATTTCTTTTTGCATTGAAAGCATTTGTTTTTGTCATTACGAATCGTAGTGCAGCTGTAGAGCTTGCCTATTTTTATTTGCATGATATTGGTTTGTATGATGACATTTCGTTATTGTGGTCTGGGTGCATTGCCAAGCTGTGCAATGCTCTGATGTGTTTTTTTTAACAAAAACAGATTGCTGTGCATGTTGGGAAGAACAGTAGAGCAAAAAAATCATAGAAAGATTTCTCAAAAAAAGTAATGATTTTTTTTAATGAATGCAACAAAATTGGCAGCACTGGATGTACTGTTGAAATAGATGTAAAGGTACTCAAATAAAATAAAAGATGCATTGTTGAAAGACATAAAATTTACCAAACAAAAGTTTCTCTGTAGTCACCAATGAATTTGTGACTTCTCAGTGGCGTTGTAAATAATAAGAAAGTAAACTTTTTTGCTTTAACATTGAACAATAGAACACAACTTTTCTTGATTTCTTTAACTCACTTGGTTAAAATATGTAATAAGTAGAATTGTTTTCAAAGGGCATTGGAATTATGTTCTGTGGTATGCTGAAGTTTTACATGATCCACAAAATATCCTTTTAGTTAAAAAGATCTTTTGTTTTTTCCAAGTTTGTAATTTGTTTTATTTATTTAGTATTTCCTTCAACATATAACAATATTTGATAAGAAAAGTTTTTTTTTTTTTTTTTTTTATTTTCTTCAAGAAATACTTAGGATACTTGGAATTCTTTGCCTTTTTTATCACACAGAAAATTTTATTTATAGTTATTTACAATTCGTTTGCTTACTGAAGAACATTAATCTTTTTTATGTGATTGTCATTACGTCTCAATGAAAATACTGGCAAATCAGTAGGAAAAAACAATAAACATAAAATGAAAAAGCTGCACCTTCTCATGGCCAGCAAAATGAAACTGTACCATCCTCCTCCTTGATGAACTCTTGGTTCATCAAAGGATTGGACTAAACATTAAAGTTATCTTAAACATTAAATACTAAAAGTTTGAATGTTTATAATTTAAATTCACTGCATTCAGTTCATTTAGTTCAAGTGACTTCTAAAGAGTACAATAATTGCATAGGATGACAAAGATTGTTTCCATTAGCTAAATGGATAGTGTAAGCCCTTATCTTTCCATCTTGTCCTGGATAACACTCCTATACAATTTCCATCTTCCATAATAACCTTAGAAGCTCTTCCTTATGTACTAGAACTACATTTCCCTTCAAAAGATCTGTAATGGCTTTAGCTATCTGAATTTGCCTTATGTTTTTAATTCCAAGCAAATTATTGTTTTTTCTATCTTTTCCAAAAACTTTTATGATTTTAGCCAATATTTGTATTGCTTTGTTTAAATTTCTTTAACTGAATCTGGTTCAAGAATTTTGCTACATAGCAACAATGTCAGTCTTTCTTCAAATAGAAAATGACCTAGTATAAGGGGTTCTGATTCTCCAACTTTACTATAAACATAAGTTAGTGATCTTAAATTTAATACTGCATCAATTTCAATTAAAATTGTTTCCAATTCTTCAAATTTAAGAAACCTTCATAAGTATTTTCTTTAAACATGACCTGGTAGATCTAACTAAACCTTTCCCAGAAATTATCTTACCAGGCTGCCTTCCCTACAATGAATTTCCACTCAATACTTTTATTACCAAAATAATTTTGAACATCTGTGTCCTTGATGGTATTCCATAGCATTTATAAAATGTTATCTGCCCTTTTTTGAAAACTTTTGCATTTTCTGAATATAACACTTGACTTCTCTTGAAATAAATCTTCTAAATGACAGAAAAAGAAATATTTCGCTGTTAGGGTCAACACCAGTTAAAGCTGCACCACTCTTGTTACAGTGCATATGTAAAGAGTTATATAACCTCTGTCAATTTCATCCTTTGAAGAGATTTGCCTGTTATTCTTTCGGTAGGTAACGAAGTGATATCTTGACATGGTAGCTTAGTTCTAAATCTGTAGCAAGTAATGTACTTATTAATATTCCTCTTTTTTAGAGGAATTTCTAAAATTTTCTTTTAGTATCTAAAATTTCTCTCTAACTTGAATTAAAGTTTCAGCTACATTGAAATTTCTAGCGTTTTGTTAAGATTTTTAATTATGTGATCTGTCAAATGGCACTTCTCAGGCAATATTGATGGATGTGTTTGGCTATAGCTCAAGCCAGCATTTTGAAGCTTTTCATGTACTGTGAATATTCCATTTGAGTTAACAAATGGATTTGATGCAAATATTTCCGAAATTGTCTATGCCTTTTTTCAGCCTTAATTTCTTTGTTTCCTCTTTAAATTCTTCTTTCTGAGCCATTTTGATCCAGAAATTCTCTGCTTCAGTCATCTCTTCAGACTGGACAGGTCCAGTTCCTTTTTAGTTCTGGGCTTTCCATATACCATATTTTATGGACTATTAGATGCACCTTAAATTTAAGATTAGATTAAAAATAATTAGGTTGCAAAGATAATATCTTCTCTCTAGACCACAACGGTTTTTTCTACTGGCACACTTGTTTGATTGTAAGCCGTTTTAAAGCTCCGGTGTGAATTCATGTTGGGTTTCATCCAGTCCTCCCTCTTATACACTTGAAATGGGTTTATTTATCAAGACATCAAGAGGTTGCAATTGGGAAGTAAATCCTTCTGGTATAACAAGTAAGCTCTCTATTTCCCTATCTCACTTTCTCTTTCACAGAATTTTTCAAATGAGTACTAAACTGATCTAATATTAGAAGAAAACTCTTCTTCAATAAAGCACCTTTCCTCCTCTCTCACACTCTGTTAATCCATAATTTCATACCAGCTTCGTCCATCCAACCTTTGTCATGTCCATGAACAACAACACCTGGCAGTATTTCAGAAGGTTTTGGCATTGTTTTGCACTTGAAAATTATCATTGGATTAAGTTTACTACTGTCAGCACAACATGAAAGGACAACAGTGTAGTACATTTTTTCATGTCCATTTTTTTTATAGTTACAATTTTAGCACCTTTCATGGCAACAGTTCTGTTATTCGGCTCATCAAATGTTAGAGGAGTTTTGTCCATATTCACTATTTGGCTTAGTTCCACGCTAGTTTTCTTTCAGTGTGGAATAATAAAGTGATTTTCTGTTCATACTCTTGTGGAATTTTCTGAGATATTTTGGTTTTGTGTTGCATGCAAAGTCCACGACGTTTCATAAACCTGTAGCACCAACCAACTCCACTCTTCTGTTAAGTTCCAAAGTCTGTTAAGTTTCACTGTAGTGCAAACTTATGAGCTTGTATTTGAATCACTTTTGTTTTAAATGCAATGTTGATAGTGTCCTTGAATCCATTTCAATACATCATCTACTAGTTTTGGCCATTTTGCATTCAGTTCTGTATTTACACATTTAGTCTTCCTCTTCTTTTTCCTCTTGTTTTTAATTCTGCTTTACTAGCCCGCCAATCGCAAATGATTTTTTTTTTTTCTGTTGATGCAGGGCCGAAATACTGCTTAGCTTCTTTGTTTCCACGTTCTTCTGCATATGCTATTACTTTCAATTTACAACCTCATCATATGACCTGTAACCTCTTTACATAAAAGCCATTTACTTTATTTTTAGTGATTATCGAGCAATTCCTGCTTTGGATCGTTATGATGCTGATATATTGGATGATTCTGAGTATTCTGCCTTATCTGAGGGTGAACGTCGGGCTGCTGAAGAAGCAATGAGGCAGCGTGATCGTGAAGAGGGACGTGCAGTTGGGCGCATGAGACGAGGCTTACTCTTTGGTAAATTTGTGTAGATTTTTTTTATTATAGCAAAATCTTATTTTTGTACTAATTTGCATCTATGTTGTAAAATGCATTTTCCTTCTCAGTTTGCTGTTCTAAAACCTGGTTTCTCGAATTAATGAAAATAAATATATCAATCTCTAGATTGAAAAATTGCAAATCACATTACTTTTTATATATAATCAGTTATTTTTGTTGGCAATATAAATATTTTCAAATATAAATTTAATTGTTCAATGCAGAAATAAATTTTTTCTGCATTAAAATTACTGTTAAAATTACTTAATTCAAATTCAGTTACAGATGAATTTTGTTCAAGCTTATTTATGTGTCTGCACAATACTAGGATTGAATATTTTCACTTAATCCCATATGAGAACCCGCAGCAATGATTACTAACACATCTCAACTTGCTGCCTTTAAAATGTGGTCAGCTTAATTTAAATGGAGTTTTTGGTTTGATATTATGCAGTCATTATTTGTTGTATATGCCTTCTCTTTGTTTAGTCAACAATATGTTTTCAAACAGTTTTGTAGAGATGTGCAAATGTTTTGAGTTCTGTCAGGTTTGTTGTTTGTCGATAATTTTTGTTCTGTAAAGTGAAGTTTCACCTTAAAAAGTACCATTTTGAGAGCATTCCAGATGTGAAAGGAATGAAATTAAAATAAAAGTATTTTAACAGCTGACTTTTATGAAGGCATCCAGGAATTGAGTGTATCAAGCTACATATAAGATACTTAGAAGAAAAACCAGTAATAAAGTGTTCCCTGTTCAAATCTTGATCTTTCATACATTCAATCATAATATTTTATATTTATGCTGTACATATTAGTTACATTTATATTGTCATTTATATGAAGATTTTGTAGACTAAAGCATGCAGTGTTATTCTATAAGTTAAGTAGATTTAATTTAGTATTTTTTCGTAAAATGTTTCATGTTATCCAAGTAGACTGCAATAGATAATGCTGGCTTTTCTTAAGATAATTTTAGAAAGGGGAAGGAAAATACTTTAGCTACTGTCATTTATGTTCAGTTTGATGTGTTAATGTATTTTGGCACAAAACTCATGAATTTTGAAAATTTAGATGAATCTGATGAAGAAGAAGAAAGACCGGCTCGTCGAAGACGTTTAGCAGAAAGAGCTGCAGAAGGTGTTGCTGCTGATGAAGAAGTAAGTTATATGTACTTTAAATTACTTTATTTAATCTCTTTTTTCAAATTTATATACTTAACTCCAAGATTATTGTAAAAAGACTACTACTAATCAAACTGAAAAATTCTGTTGACAGTGTTAAGATACATCAACTGATCAACTTTTATCAACTGATGAACAAAAATTTTTATTCTAAGATATAAATTGAAGTGTAATATTTAGTCAATGTATTATATTTAAGAATACCCATTCTTATCAAAATGTGTCAACAGTTCCCCATGGAATGCAGTACAAAGTCCGAAATCCGGATGCCCATTATCCGGAATGATCTAAAATCCTGACCTCAAAGCCACAAACATTTCTTTTAATATGATTTACGCATGCGCACTTGATTTTTCCTTCCATAATAAAACCTGTGAAGATTTTCACTTAAAAATTCAGATTCTTAATTTCACTTAGGCACTAAATAAAATACCTTGTTATGGGAAAACAATCATGCAAGCATAAATTTGTGAGATTAATAATAATGTGGCTCCCTAGCTGGGTATCTGATTGGCATACATCTCAAACCAAAACCATTCACCTATTTTATACCCCTGATGCCGACTTGGAGAGTCATTATTCACTATGCTTTCATCACCGCATGTTTATTAATACATGACAGCTTCAGTAATAACTCATGCAGTGATGTCTAAATTTTTTTATATTAGTAATTGAATAACAAGAGTATGGCAACCTTTTATGCTAACATTACGCTTGGCGATGATTAGAAATTTTTAAATGCTCTAAGAAATAATGACAAGGAAAAATTCAACAAAAATTTCTTTTCGTACGCTAAAAATAGATTTTGTTGATGAAACTCATAGGCCAAAAGATTACATTTAGTGCTATTTTAATTAAGAATAACTGATGTGTTATTCACCATAAACCCAGAAGCAGTGGCAAAATAATGTCGGCACCGATTGGCAGAATTTAGGGAAGACGAAATTTTCGGAATTTGGTGAAACACCGAGTTGCAAAATTAAGGGATGAGAAGTTTTTTTATGATTTAGGGAAAGCACTGGGATCCAAAGTTTAGGCATGGTGAAAATTTAGAACTTAGAAAGGTGTTTTGTAGCAGAATTAAGGACCCGTAGAGATTGCATCAGGCGGTATCGAGCGCTGGCTCTAGATATGTATATGTTTGAGTTTATTCATTCAGGACTCAGATTAGTTTTAAGTATGTGCAAGAAATAAACATAGGTATAGTAAATAACTAAACTAATACAATTCAGGCTTAATTTAGTATGTAATAGGAACAAGACAAAATTTAGCAAAACAACTTGGCTTTCGTCACCAATCTTGTGATACACAGCCAATAATGTATAACGGACGCTATTAAGCTAGGCTAAAATCATCATTACTGATTCTAAGGCATTTCAGTTAATGTAGCAGACTGCACTGCTCCCTAATCTTCTAATTTGATCCAGCTTATTATTTTTTAGCAGACTGTTATTATTACAGCAATTTTATAAAAGATACGCTTGAACTTTTGATTATGTTGAAAAGAGTTTCCAATTCTGGAGCTGCCAGAGAATCTACAAAGCGGAACCATGTTTCGATGTCCATTAAACAAAAATTGGAATTGCTGCGAAAAATTTATAAAGGCATAACTGTCTTAAAATTATGCAAGGAGTTATGGCATTGGAAAGTCGACTATATATGACATAAAAAGGAACTTTTTGAATTTTTTGTGGAAGCAACTTAAACAGCTTACATTGAAAGAAATATTTAATAAAGTAAACAAATAAATATTAAGCTTTTTTTGTAAATTTACTTTTTTTTGTTGTAAATTTGATACCCTTTAGATTATAATCGTTCTTTATTTCATAAATTATGATTTCATATTTTTATATGTATAATTTCTGCATGCCATCTTACCAGTTTTAAATTGATGATCTAATATACGGAATCTCCGAAGTCCCGACGAGTCCGGATTTCGGACTTTGCACTGTAGTATTATGTCAGTTTTCATATTTAAATATCAGCTATTCTGTTGGGAAACTGATCCACCAGCAGTCAAACAATAAAGTCTCTGAAGACTGGTAGTTGCATCCAGGGTTTGAATCCTGGCAAATGTGTTGGCTGCATGGGTTTTTTCATGGTTTTCCCGACATATTGTATGTGTATGAACCAGTTTCCCTTTGAAGCTCTTCCATGAAGTTATCTCTCTCCTTAGGCAGTCCTTGAGAGCTTTGCCGCAATCAAGTAAAGTTAACCAAACTCTCAAGAAATTCTCTATGAGAGACCTCATAGAGAAATTAAGGGAAGTAGTTAAGTATGCTCTTCAGAATAATACTCTTAAAGTAGACAACTGCACCATGCTTTGCTGTAGTTAAATAATTAACATAATTTAAAAACTTGATACTTTTTAAAAACACAAAATTCAGCAACTCTTTATAAAATATATCAGTTTTTTGTTCTAGAAGTTTTTTCTGTCGTGCATATGACAATACCGATAATGCTGAATCTGAGGAGTATTGTTGATTGATGTAGCTATTAAAATAGGTTTAATTTACTTTATGACTACTAAAGACTTTTCAAACTATTGGCTGAAATATTAATGTCATTAGATAAAAGGGAAAACTTAATATTGTAGTGCACATAAATGTAATTTGTGCATGCAAATTCACATATCAGACATATATAAATTATTATTTTATACATTTTATTATATAATTTAATCATTTAATATAAAAATTATATATGAAGTATGTGTAATGAAATTTGAATAATTAATAATACTAAATGTTACATAAATATGAATATATAAGGACATAATAATGTATACAAGGACATAATAATATAAGGGCATAATAATATATACAGTAAAAGCCTATCTGGCATTCTATTAACATTAAAAAGCTCAAATAAGCAAAATAAAATAAAATAAAAAAAAAAAAAAAAGAATTTTTTCTCTCTCCCTTTTTTTATGAAAATTGAGGAACCGTGTAATTCTAAAGCTGTCATAAAGTATGTGTAAGACTGTAATTGGAAAAATGAAAGGAAAAAAATGTTGACAAACAGTGTGATTTAGCACCAGTAATTGATTAGCATGACCTTGCAGTTTCTATCCCACATTAAAAAAAAAAATATATATATATATTAAAATTTAGGACCCTTACTAAATCAAACGCTATGTAGTACAGTATTTACAAAATTATGACATCTTGACTTAAAAAGTATGCACTAATATGCATAATGTACAACTGTATTTGAAAATATTAATATGACTTGAAAAATTGATAAGCAATTTAAGTTTTTAAATGCTCTGTGACTTTTATCTCTTGATTATCTAACTAACTAAAGAGTACTCAGTCCTTTCAAACTTCTGCTGGAATGATTGGTGCAAGTCTGCTGAGATTTAAGCCTTTTTTTTTTTTTTTTTGTTTTTTTTTAGGTCTTTTTTTGTCATCCATAGGAGTTGATAATTGGATAAGATGCTTTACTTCCCTATTCTTAAGGCCTACAAAAATACAATCTGTACCCAAAAAATATATGCATCCAGAAGGAAACAAACTACTATCACAAAACATAAAATGTGTATGAGGAGATAAACAAGTGATTACAAATTCAGAACAAAAGATCGTTTTGTTAAGAAGATATAGCAGGAAAAATGTTATAAATCAGTAAGTAGTATAGCCACCTCTGCAATTCGAAACATGGTGTGGCATTGAGTCAAGTAGGTCACCTATGACCCCCTGCAGAAGATCGTGCCATAATCTTTTGCAACTGGGCAGTTGATTCACTAGTATTCCAGGACATCTGCATTTGCCTTCCAAGCATGTCCCTAATGTGCTTGCTCTAATGGCGAGAGGTCCAGTGACCTGGTTGATTCTTGAAGAGATTGTTGGGAGAATCACGCAGTATGCAGACGAGTGTTGTCTTGCTGATAAATGGCACCTGGGTGACTTAATAGCATAAGCAGTACAACCAGTGTTTAAATGTTGTCTACATAACTGCAAGCCATCATAGTGCCTTGATGACTAGAGGTGATCGTATGCCCCAACAAATCGCTCCCCATGCTCTCACAACTTTTGTAATCACTGTATGCTACTTGACAACAAATGTTGCATCAGACTGCTGGCCTGGCTGCCTCCACACACATGTGTGTTGGTCATCAGCATTCAGACTGAATCGAGATTCATCGTTGAAGATCCAGCTAGTCTCATTCCAATTTGCCTGAGTTCGGGAAAAGTCCAGTCAACACTGCCTTTGATGTGTGGTCAGTGGTAGGTGTTTTAATGGATGTCGGCATCATTTACCAGCGTTGACCAGTTGTCTCGAGTAGTTTCCCTTAATACCACCGTATATTTGGAAGCTGGTAAATGTGTTGAATCGATACTAGCAACATTGTTGGTACGGAAGTGGCTACTTATGATTACATGATCCTTGTGCTCATTTGTATTCCTGGGAATTCCTGATCCTCAGTGACTGTAGACTATCCCGTTTACGATCCATTGTCACCAACACTGAGCAGCTACTGTATCACTCCAACCGAGGTGATGGTTGCTTTGCCTGTTCAACCAACATGCTTCTCAGAGGCCTGCTATATGCCCCTTCTCAAAGTCCAAAAACTGTTCGTACTGCCACCAGTTACGTCTCAGGGCATCTCACAATACTATGCATCCAAGTCACAATACTATGCATCCAAGTCAACAGATTTGTTTGAATAGCCCTAGGGCATATTTAAACTCTCCCAGCTTCACATCTCATATGCGCATTGTGCACTTACCTTTGTCTCACTTGCATCTAAATCTAAATTATTTGTATATCTCTTACCAGAATACATTCCTGCTGAGTTTCATTACTGTGGCTTTATATCTTCTGTGTGCATATATTTTTGCGACAGTGTATGTCAATTTTTTTAGCTGAAATGCATTTTTTAAAAAACCTTACATGAGGTTAATTGTAGAATTTTGATATTCAAGCTGATAACAAATAAGATGATTGTTTGTATAATTTTAGATCATAACTTTTTTTCATTTATTTGACTTTTCTATGATGATTTGGATTTTTTATATGCTATCTAAAATTTCTCATATACAGCATTTGTCATTTCCTAAGCTGTTCGGACAGTAGAGCTTTTGCTGTGTGTATAACCAAGGGAAACATTTTGAATTGTATATTTTATTTAACTGTATATGTGCTTTTGTTTCATGTTATAATTTTTTAATTTTATTTAATGATTTTATCCAATGACTGATATTATTTTTTAGATGATAGAAAGTATAGAGAATTTAGAGGATACAAGAGGTCACAAGATTAAGGAATGGGTTACACTTATAGGTCCTCGAACAGAAATTTATAATCGCTTCAAGAATTTTTTGAGAACTTTTGTTGATTCAAAAGGTCACAATTTATATCGAGAAAAAATCCGACAAATGTGTGAAGGTATAAATTATTTTCAATATAAGCATATATTTTACATACGAGGGTTGGGGCAAAAGTCATGGCAACTATTTTTTTCTTGTAGATATGTGAACGGATCACAAAACATATATGTGTCATGTGGAAGTTCTGCAGGCATAGTGTGTATGCAGAACAACAGATGGCTCTGTGATAGCTGGCTGTGTGGTAGCGAGAGCTCTGAATTCAGTCAGTTGGTGAGTGTCGTGCGAGATGGAAATAACCAAAGTTGAACAGCGCGCTTACATCAAAATAGCCGTTCTCCGATGGAGAAATGCGATGGAATGTCACAGTGAATTAGTATAAGCCCTTGGGAATAATGCCCTACCATATCGTACAGTAGCACGGTGGATAAAAAAGTTTCAGCAAGGACGTGTGTCAACCAGTGATTAGCAATGTTTGGGACGACCGGTGAGTGTGCTGTCATCGAGCACCTCATGGATGAAGACATGATGGACGTTACTGGAGTTAGAGAGGGCAAGTGGCATCGAGAAATGCACCGTCCGCAGGATATCGCGTAATGAGCTACAGCTACGCAAAATCACTTCGTGGTGGACACCGCATGCACTGACGGAATTTCAAAGGTGGGTGTGCTATGCAATATGCACCGACCACTTTGCATGCTGGCAACAGGACGGCGAACAATTCTTTTCATGAATAATCGCCATTGATGAAATTTGGGCCAGGGCATACAAACCAGAACTGAAATGTCAGTTTGCGGAGTGGCGACATCCTGGATCACCAAGATAGCAGAAGGTCCGTCAGAATCCTTTCCCAGTCAAATTGATGGTGATCGTCGCGTATGACGTCAGGGGTGTCATTGTTTGCCACTTTGTTCCTCATGGTAGACCGCACGGTACTACAGGGACTCATGTCAACTTTATGTGTATTGTGTTATCATTCTTTTGCACAGCGAAGGCCATGTTGCCCTGTATACTACCATAATAAATTCATGTGCTACGATATTTCAGTGCTATTCATTGTCCACACATGTAGTTAACACCTTGTCCATTCATCTGTATATGTCACATTTTCCAACCAGACTGGTATCTTCAAGAAAAAAAATAGTTGCCATAAATTTTGCCCCAACCTACGTATTTATGTGTTTGTATATATACATATGCTTGATATATGAATAGAATGTAATATATACTCAGTGAGGAAGAATCTGAATCATTCCCTTGCAATATCCATTTAAAAAAGTATTTAAATTATATTTGTGTTAGTTTATAAGATATAGTAGGCTGGTTATATGCTCAAAAAGGTTTTATTCTGCACCAAAAAATTATTTTGTAAAATAATATAAAAAATATTATAACATTCAGTAATATTTCATTGGATTTTCTTAAGAAGTAAAAGATTAACATCTGAATGATATAATGATGTCATGAATTAATAGGAGGCATGATAATTGCAAATGTATATTGATGGAGATCTGAATGGAATTCACAACATTGTGCCCAGCTTGTGAAAGGGTACCAGATCTGCTGAGAGAAAGCCTGGGTAATGTTATCAAAGAGCCACAGTGGCAAATGAAGAATCATATTTATCCATTTCAGCTGTGTCATGATTTTCATGCAACAACAGGAAGCAATGTTTCAACGTTTACAGTTTTTGGAATGCTACATGTAAGAGACCTGTTTTTTAAAACTTTTTTGTATCCCACACACTTCTGTACACAAGAGAGCCCATTTAGTATATAGCAGAAAATATCAACTTTGGACCAAGCAGCAGAGCAGAACCATTCTCTTCAGAGGTGGGTTTCGATTTAATCTAAAGACTGATTTTCAATGTGTGTTCATCTGGAGAGTACCAGGAATGATTTGAAATACCTTCATCTGGAGATAACCACAAACTCACTACTTATCTTCCATTATTTTAGAAAAGCAGCAGTACTGCAGTGGATATGTGATGGTCAGGGCAGGTATCATGTTGGAGAGGTGCAGAGATGTTTGACAGAGCCTTTGTGACTGCTGCAAGGTGTAAAGATGAGATCTCGGAGCTCTGTTTTGCTCTTTAAAGGGTGTAGTTGGCCCTCAGCTCACTTATGTAAAGGATATCATTGATCCACTAAGGGCTAATCTGGTGGAGGATTTTCTGGAAAGTGAGGATAGTAACCGGCTGAATTGGTTAGCCAGATCTCTAAGCCTAAGCACTGTAAAACATATTTAGGATGCTCTTGTGAGGGCAGTCATAACTTGACTTTCCCCTTCCAGAACCCTTCATAATTTGAAAAGAGCATTTGCTGCAGGAATGGGGTCAACCACCAAGGGGACTCTTAAATTGCTTTATTCAAGTATGAAATCTCATGAGTGCTGCATGACTGTCAGAAGGGATCATACTCTCTATTAGCCTTTTCTTTTGTTGAATCTTTTTAGACCTTGCTGAGTAGATGATGACTCTTATCAGCTCTTCATATGTATATCATGCATATGTACCCTTTTAATATTGTATCAGCTGATGTCCATACTAAATTTTGATAAAATTTGCTCATTGTTTGTGGAGATAATCAACTAAGTATTAAAAGTTTCTAGTGCATAATTTTCAATGCCAGTATAGTTTTATTTATAATGAGAGAAAATAAATTTATAAAAATGCATTTTTTCCCCAAAATCTATAATATGCATTAAAACATATGTAATACAAGGATTACCATGTTGGTTGATGCAAATCTAACAATCTAAGTAGTGCAAAATTGCTACAGAATGCTAGTATTGTTTGCTTACTATATCAAAAATAAGTTATTTAACTATGGCAAAAGAGAAAATTAGCCTAAATTATTATAAAATGATGAACCAGTGGCATACTTGCTTCAGGATCTGATGTAAAACAGTTTTGTGTTTAATTCTTACTACAGTCATTTTAGACAATCATCTCACAAATTACACTCAAAAAGTGAATTTTTGTTTCCCTATTTTAGTTTTTTATGTCTCATGTTTTTGGCACAACAAGGTAATTAATGAACATTTTTTTGAAATTATAAAATTTAGCAAATTGTTTAAAAATAAGTATTGGTAAAATCCAAAGATGTGACATAGAAAATAATTTTAAAGTGATATTTGTATGTGTAGAACTAGATGCTTATATTTTTAGTTTGTTAAGAATAAAATATGAATCTAATTTAAGTACTAATAAAAAAATATGATAACACCCTCTTATAGCAACCTTGGTGAGAAACAGCGCATTATCTATGCACATATAAGCAGTTCATTCCATGCTTGTAGTGCATAATTTATTTAATATAGAGACAAAGAAGTCAATTTAATATAAATTTGTATTTGTTATTGTGTTTAGAACAATTTTGTAAGCAGTCTATTTAAAATAAACAACATATGAAAGCATATCCAAATTTCTTTTTTAACAGACATTTTTGGTTGTTACTTTAGCTGTTGCAGCTAAATGAGGCATGAAACACCACATTATGGCAAATGTGATGCTTCACCTTTGTAGGAATATCTCTGTATATACACACCATTATAAAGATATGCTGTCCTTTCTAACTTGAAAAAAGCAACTTTCATAATTGTGTGGGCACCTCTAAGTTCCAGTACCATTCGCAAGTCTGATTTTTGTCTGCTAATTAGTGATTAAATAATTAAAATGGTGAAATAAATGTTAGGCACCTTTATGAAGTACACTCTTGAATTATCATTAAAAAGCCCACACCTTATTTAAAATGCCGAAATGGTGTAAAGGTGCCAGATTTTTGTTTTGTTTGCAGTGACCCAGAATAATTTTTCAGTTTGTGCTTTGGTTCTGGAAAGAAAATAATTAATTTAATATAGTATCTTTTTTGCAAATCTTGAAATTCTACCAAATATTCAATATTTTATTCATTCTTCGTAATATCCTAATTTTTGAATGAGATAAAAGGGTTCAGTATTTTATTTTTATTATTGCTAAGGGTAAAGAAATCAAAATATGGAAGAAATCACTATTTATTGTAAAATAGAATCTAAAAGTCAGTTCATAATACAACCGTGAATTTCTCTTTCTGTTGTAGAATGAGAAATGCTATTTTAAGTAAAAAAATTATTATGAATTATCTAAAATTTACAAATGAGTTGCATTAATGAAATTTTACCATGCTGAACAACAAAATAATCTAAGATTTCAATAACATCATCCATGGTTTTTCCTGAGAAAAAAAAGCAAAAATAAATTATTAAACTAACATTTTTAAAATGTTGAGATTAAATGTAATATTTTAAATTATTTCCTTATACTTCATTTTAGCATTATATTACAATTTTGGTATGCAGTGAGAAAAGGACCAAACTCAACTAATAGATAGCAGCTCTCCCATCCTCTTCTTCTATCAATCAACTTGAAAGGACCATCCCCTACGAACAAACTGCTTGCATATATTTGAAGTGTCTTTATGCTGTACAGATTATATACATTTACAAACATCTATACCTTCCCCAGAATTTGAACCTGGGGTCAGCAATAAAGCAGCAGGTGTTGCTAACCAGGGTGAGGATCAAGGCTGAGTTTAAAGACGGAAAATTTCAAATTAAAAAATATTAAGAATTTCATTTCTTATAATAGCACTTATTCATTTTTGCATTCATTCATTCTCACCCTTTTTAAGTATTATTTTACATTTAATTTTTGAGATATTTTGCTTAAAAATGCAATACTTTTAAAATATGCTGCTACAAACTTCTATAGATTTGTTACTAGAAAATTTCTTAAAATTTGTTACTTCATAAATTATTTCAATAAAAAACCATATTTTGAAATCACACTGTTACTATGGAATATTTGTTGTATGATTACCAGATGAATTTATCAAGTAAAATGAATAAGAACAATAAAACATGTAGGAAAATGCAAGTTTTAGTTTAGTCAGAAAAGTCCAGTATGTCACTGGATTTAATAAATTATCATCTTTTTCATAATGGACAAACCAAAGGTGATTTATAGAGTATTATACAGTGTTATTTATGATTAAAATTATACAGTGTTATGTGTGATTCATTTTCTTCATATGAGAGAATTGCAGAAAATTTGGTAATATAAAAAAAGAATTAAAAATATAGATTCAATAGAAACGGAATTTTATTTATATTTATCAAGCTGTTTTTTTATTTAATTTATTTTTAAATTAATAGTTAAATTTTAATGTCAGAATTTTTAAAGTGTAAGAAATTTTTTAAAAAATTGTTAAATTTAACCCCTTCGAGCCGGGTAGCGAAAACGCGCGCTTATCGCTGAGGCCGGCAGTGTCTTACGCGAGCGTCTCTCCAGGGCCAGGGGCTTTTTTGCTACTAAGCCTAAATCCATGAAATTTCCGAAGTATCAACGCATTGTTTAATAATGCTCTATAGAGTATTTAAACGGCTTATGCTTTATAAATATTTTATATATATACTTTAATACCTTATTTCTTGTTTAAATGCATATTTTACACATTTTATTTTAATTACTCACCATTTTATGAATTTTAACATTATACATCTGAAAACTAAATATATTACTTAAAATTCTCTTTTCGTATGAAAAATTTGAAAACAGGGATCTACACACAGTCCTACGTTACATTCCTTGCACTCGTAATAACTCATTTGCCATTTTGGAGAATTTTTCCGGGAATGTGAACAAACGAAGAATCGTCGTCTCATTTTCTTATCAGTCTCTTCTGAACAAAGTTTTGGAAAATGTCTTTCAGTTAATCTTTCAGAATCAATATCAGAATATCAGAATTTCAGAATCAATATCTGAAATATTTTACATCATTTCTGCTATTTCATGCTCTGTTAAACATTTTCGGCGCTTCGACATTGCAACGGTAAAAACAAAGAATTCACGTCTAACAAGATCTAATTATTTTCTAAAAAAACTGAACTGCAAACCGAAATACCCAACGCTTTAGAGCAAATAAAACTTCTCTACTTACAGTAAACAACTACCACGTGCGAATAAAGTACGATTTAAAGAGACGTCATAAATCACGCCATTCGGAAACATTTATTTCCCCGTTTGTTTATATAATCAAAAACACGTGTATGTGAGTCATGCTTCTCTCATTTCGAGTAGAAGGTCTAATTTACATGTATCTGGAACCATATGGACATACAGTGCCATCTTGTGGCAGAAATTATAGTTTGAAAAACGTTCCAAAGTACTGGCACAAATATGTGACAGTCGGTAGAGAATGGAACAATCCTCTGGCACGCCTGCGTGTCGGCCGGTAGGTAAGTGCGTTCGTTGCTGGCACGTCTACGTGACAGTTGGCGCGAAGGGGTTAAATTTGCTTTTTGTGTGCTGATCATTTTTACAAAGATGTAAATACCATCTTAAGAAATTTTCTTTCTTTTTTCAGATAACAGACAAAGCTTTGAGATAGATTATAACATTTTGGCTTCAGAAGAACAAGTTCTAGCATTTTTCTTGCCAGAAGCACCGTTAGAGATGCTCAAAATCTTTGATGAAGCTGCTAAAGATGTTGTTCTTAGTATGTATCCTCAATATGAGAGAATTACAGGTGAAATTCATGTTCGCATTGCAGATCTTCCTTTGATGGAAAATATTAGAAGTCTGAGGTAAATTGCTATTAAACATGTGCAGTTTTTAAACATTTTCATTTACTTATTTATTTAGTTCATTATTTGAGATTTTTCAAACCTCTTCCAGGCAATTGCATCTGAATCAATTGATTCGAACTTCAGGAGTTGTCACTTGTGCAACTGGTGTTCTTCCACAGTTATCACTTGTAAAATATGACTGTATTAAATGTAATTATGTATTGGGTCCTTTTATACAAACATACGATAATGAGGTAAAACCCGGTACTTGTCCAGAATGTCAAAGCAATGGACCATTTCAAATAAATATGGAACAAGTATGTATCTTTATTATATTCTTTCATTCTTCAGCCATTTATATTATGTAAGTCCTGTTTTAAGATGTTATAAAAATAACTGTTGATTCACTGAACGATAAATTAAATTATTAGCTCTTAAATAAAGTCTTAATGATCTAAAAAACATGTTTAATTTTCTGACCTTTACAGTCAGGTATTTATAATTATTTAGAAAAAGCTTCTTACTTCATTTTGGACTAAACCAAATTGTAGTGAGATTGCATTATTGAATCTCCAATATCAACACCAATCATATTTTTATTGTAGTCTATGATACATTTGGTCTTCAAAGTATTCTCTCCTGTTTTTCTGTTTTTTCTTCCTGTATCATCTTTATCTGCAGTATGTATACAGAGTTCATATGGTCCTTAAAAGTCCTTAGGTTTTTTTGGGAACAATTTTGGTCCTTAAAAGTCCTTTTTTTTTTTTTTTTTTTTTTTTTACAACTACAATTTTGAATGTGAATTAACATTTTAGAGGAGTATTTTTTGATGATGCATTGACAAATATGTATTTGATGACTTATGTTTGAATTCTTTCCTACTTCTTACTATAAATGTTGGATACTTGAGTTTTATGCAGGAGGCCCTGCGTTGATTGAAACACAAACATTTCAAAATAATTTCTTTTTTGCAGATGAAGACTTCATAAAATATTACACTAAAGACAACTTTTCCCTTTTTGGGATATGAGTTCTTTTATTATTCATCGCTAGATAAATATTGTAATCCCCCCAAAAAATTTCAGGTATCATATCTTAACAAAATACCCATTTTGGAATATTTTCGTTGGTTCTTTTTTCCACAACAGATTGTAAAATGGATTCAGAGATTTTTTGTGACATCTATATGTACGTTAGTATGTATCTCGCATAGCTCAAAAACTTTGCCTTAGAATGTTGAAATTTTGTATATGGGACTGCTATTAGATGTAGTTGTGTGCCTCCTTTTCTGGTTGCAGTGGGCTTCGCCAAATGTATTTAAATGTATATTGAATTGAATCTCATCGATAGGTATTTCACATAAAACACATTAAAATAAATGCAAGCTTTTTAAATTTACTATATTTATTTAATAGTAACACTGGCGCTAAGTTTACTAAACAATGTTACATCTCAATCGCATTATAACTCAGAATGCACAAATTATATCATCTGAAGGATTATCTAATTGTTGCCACATGTTTTATTCAAATACTATAATAAAACTAAAACGTTGTATAAAAGAAATTAAACAAATAAAAAAGAAGCAGATTTTCACAGACGATTCAGCACCTCTTACAACTAATGCGCATGCACTACTATAAATCACAATGTCCAAAACAGTGTGTAATTAGTTTAAAATTAGTTTCATTTGTCTTCTTTTATATTTTGTCATGATAAAATCAGTTTTCTCTTAAAAATTCATTTTACGCTTCTCTGAATTTTTTTTTTTTCAAAAGTCTTCTGGCTCTTTATTCTTACAAATTTGGAAGGAATAATTTTTTTCCGAATTTTAGACCTTGCACATCGGAAGGTCTAAAGGCAACATTTATGGGTTATTACTTTGAAGGCAAGATTTATAAACCCTGCACTGGAAAATCTACAATTTCCAGAAAAATGTGACGAAATGAAAAGTGCCTTCATAATACACATAATGGATATAATGAAAAGTGTCTTCATATTAATAACATGCAATGGACGTGTTTTATAGGAAATTCACGTTGAATTTCTTATCTTTTGGAGAATTTTTGGAAGAATAGTGAAAACGCAATTATTTGAATTTTCTGCTTTTGATCCCAGAAGTCTTTCTCTTAACATGTTTATCTTCCTTCTCATCTAGACACAAGCATCGAAGCAATCAAAGAATTGAAAAATTGAAAATCAATGCTTTATTAAAAAATAATTACATATATGTCTCAGTGCCTGCCCTAAATTCTAAACCTCTTGGCCTACATTTTTTTGCTCAGTGCTTCATTAAATTCTAAAACTTCTGCCACATTGGCTCTGGTTTTGTCTTCAACCTTGTAACAGCTTTAAATATTATTAAAATCTTGTAGTTTAAATAATTTAAATAGATGAACATTAAGGTATTTGTGAATGGCAATATTTGAAACCAGACTCGAGTGCCACGTGCGACTCTCGCATGAAGAATGTAATTTATTTTTAAATGTTAGTATTCTTTCTTCTTCTTGTTTTGTATGTCGCCATTTTGAGTGCTAAATAAAGTTTTTTTCTGTGTTCCATCATTGGAGTTGCTTCATATTGCCAAAGAAGTATCACAGTCATAATTATTTTGGAGGCCCGACCGAGATTGAATAATCGTGCATATTTTTATTTTATTAGTTCATCACTGAACGCAATATTAGCGATACCAGATTATTACTTTCTGTTAATATTGAATTGCTTTATGTTATTAGTTCATCACTGAACGCAATATTAGTGATACCAGATTATTATTTCCTGTTACTATTGAATTGTCTTATTTTATTACCGTATTGGATATTATTTTTAATATTCATTTTAGTTGTCCAGACAGTAGATATATATATTGCTTTATGTTGTTATCCTTATTTAGTCACAATTAATGTGGTAGAGAGAATGAACTTCATATAATTTAAATATTTCATTTTCGAGGTGTACGTATTTAACAGAGTGCATTTAATTCCGTGATTCTTGACTGCATTAATTAATTAAAGTAATTGAATTGAGCTATTTTGAAGAAGTATAAAGAACACAGTGTTCATTAATTTTAAACATAGAAACAATGTCTTACTTAGGAAGAGCTTGTAAGAAAGATTTGCAAAATCTCGTGGCTGAACTGGGAGTTCATGTGACTGCAGATTTGAAAATAGTCGATTTAAAACAGAAAATTGTTGAAAGTAGAGATTATGATGAAGTGTTTGTCAAAGGAGTCTTAGACACAATAATAGAAGAACGGAAAGAGAGGGAGGAAAGGGAAAGAGAAGAACGGAAAGAGAGGGAGGAAAGAGAAGAATGTAGAAGACAGGAAGAAGCAGAAGAGCGGAGAAGGAAAGAACAGTATGAATTAGAGAGATTAAGACTTGAAGCAGAGACAAAGTCTCAAAATACTGGACAGATCCGGCCGAAAACGGAGCTGCATGTTTGCAGAAATTCAATGACAAGAAAGGAGATATCAGTCTATATTTGTTATTGTTTGAAAGGCAAGCAATTGATTTGAGGGCTCAAATTGATAAAGAAGAATTTGTATCTGATTTACTAGGACTACCTTACGAAGTAACCCAGTTAATAGCTAGAGAACCCTCCGATAAAGCTAAAGACTATGAACACGTGAAGAATTTATCGTTAAGACAGTTTAAACTAAGCCCGGAAAAGTTTAGGCAGAAATTTATGAAGCATCAAAAGAGTACCGAATCCACATGGGTAGATTTCAATTATGAAATAGAAAATTATTGCAAAGAATCGGTGACTGGTCTAGGAGTCTAGTCTAAGACTTTTGATCAGTTGCTAGATTTGATGGTGATTGACCAACTTAAACGTCGAGTTCCTCCCGAAATTCGAGATCATTTTCTTGATGAATGGGTAGAGATGATTTCATCTAAAAAATTAGCTGAAAGACTTGATGCCTATGAAAACGTTTGCGGAAACTTTCAAAAAAGGCCTGTAGTGAATCGGCAGAAAGAAAGATACAATGTACTAACTCAAGGTAAATTGTGTTCAGATAATAAAAATAAAACTGAAAAAAAAAATTGTTATCAGGATTTAATTCGCAAAGCTGGTTTCATAGACCTAGAAGTCCACGTCCAGATGATAAATATGAAAAACGAAAACGCCACAATGCTATCAGTGTGGATCCTATCAACCTTTAAGACCCCAATGTCCAAAACTTAAGAATAGTACTGAATCTCCTGCTAATCTTAACAGAATTAGTGCAAAACCAGAGGATAAATTTCTATTACCTTATACTAGTATGGGTTACGTAAATGGTCATAAAATTCCTATATTAAGGGATTCAATTTGCTAGTATTGATATAGTTTGTCGCAAATACTTCAGGACCAAAATGCTGACAGGTGAAAATGTGTGGGTGCAACAGCCATTGGATTTGAATCTAACCTATTTATCATTGGCTGAGGATCGAACTAAATTGCCGATCTTCAGGCTGAGTACTAACCTAAGGTTGCCATTATTAGAAATGAATTTCGACAAAGGAAGGTATTTGTTAGGCAATCGAACTTCTGTGCACTGTTGAAGGAAGAAAGGAAAGGAACCTAATAGTTAGTCCTCACCAGGTTAATGCCTTCTCTAGCTAGAGCTCAAAGGAAAAGAAAAATGAAGCGGTGAAGAGAAGATCTTGGAACTGGATGAAGAGAAGAAAATACAGCATCCAAAGATATCTTTGAAGAAGACGTTAAATCACCGGAATTAAACGTGGAAGATCTTCACGAAAATTTGAAAAACGATAAAGAAATTAATATTGAGAATCATTTTGCAATGCAACGCTATCGTCATCTTTCGGCTTTCGATTTAATATCAAAGCCACTACTAATAGACGAAGAAAACGATTGTTGAAAGCGAATAAAAATTGAATATTATCCGAAAGGCACAAATGAACTGAAGAAAGGTTTTGTTGTGAATTATAGCCGAGGAATTAATCCAACATGAACATGGAAGAGATCTAGGCAGCCGTCAAGGCAAAAAAAAAAAAAACAAAAAAAAAAAAAAAAAAAAAAAAAAAAAAAAAAAAAAAAAAAAAAAAAAAAAGAAGACTAATTTGAACACTGTCCATTTTCTTCCTATTAACTGTGGTGTAAAAAATATTTGTTTAAAACTTAAAAGTTTTGGCCTGAAAGTTTGGGAAACGTATCAGGATAAGTTACTTTTTTCTCTTTAAGCAAATGAGCAAGCCGAGCTTATAAACTTTCGAATTTTACAGAACTTTTCCCTTGGGTAAAAGTCTCTCCTTTGGGGGAGAGGTTGTAACAGCTTTAAATATTATTAAAATCTTGTAGTTTAAATAATTTAAATAGATGAACATTAAGGTATTTGTGAATGGCAATATTTGAAACCAGACTCGAGTGCCACGTGCGACTCTGCGCACGAAGAATGTAATTTATTTTTAAATGTTAGTATTCTTTCTTCTTCTTGTTTTGTATGTCGCCATTTTGAGTCCTAAATAAAGTTTTTTTCTGTGTTCCATCATTAGAGTTGCTTCATACTGCCAAAGAAGTATCACAACCTTATATCATTTCATATTTATTTTCAATACTCGTATTATTAAAGAAATTAACAGCTTCTTCTATACATTCTAGTACAAGCATTTCTTTAGAATAAGAGGTATGTTTAATTAAATCTGTAAATTCTAAAATGAAAGAAAAATTCATTGAAAAGGAAAATGATATTTCAAAAAAAAAAAAGAGAAAATATTCTTCAAATTGTTGATACATTAACAAATTAGGAGATGAAGCAGAGACTAGAGGAAATACTAATTTGTTTATTGAAACAAATAAACCTAGGAAAGATGCTGAAGAGGAGGAAATTTATGTAAAATTAGCTAAAAGATTTGGAAAATTTTCAAATTAAATAGATCCATAAACATTTTGTTGTTTAGCTTTTAATGTATATTTATACTAATATCATTTTTGAATCAGTATCATAAATTACAACTATTATAAACTGTTCTTAGTGCTTTTTTAATGGATATTTTTTAGAAATTAAAAAAATATAGCCATATAAATCTATTATGACTAAAAGTATGTAACTTTGTAATTTAACTATGTAATTAATTGCTCACTATAGGAGTTATCTTTACATGTTAAGGTGAGTTATCTCCTTTCCTTAATCCTTATTGTGGATGCAAGATAGAACACAAAAATGTAAAAATTAACATAAAACTTCATTCCTTACTGCTAATGTGACTTAAAATAATACAAAACAGCCCTTGTGCTTCAGCAGCTTATTGGAACTCTATATTAAGTAATATATATTAACTGGGTTACAACTCCAGTAAATTTACACGTAACCTCTTTCAGACAAAGTGCAGCTAACTTTCAACACTTGCCAACCATACCAACACCAGCCATTCACATCTATTCTGACTAGTGGGCCTTTGTCTTCTAAGCAAGCAGCTGCAGTGACGATGACCAGACTTCTTTTATGAAGCATGCTGATTATTATTTTACTTCACAATTTAACTTGTGCCACTTGGCATAAAATTCGTGTATGCATTTGAACTGAGCGAGTATGTGACATAATGAGGCATAAAAAAAAGAATCAGTATAAAGCTGTTAGTAAAATATAAATAAAAAGTCACTAATCTTCTTTAAAATATAAATGTTTCAAGAGATTTTGTAATTTAATGTCAATTACTTGAAAGAATTTATGAAGTTAAATATTAGATTATGTTTAATTATATTAAATATTAGATTATGTTTAATTATGTTAAATATTAGATTATGTTTCAAAAGTGAAGTTTGGATGTAGGTAATTGCTTGAGTTTATTCAATTCTTATTTGCTTGATAGGTCCTTAATTCTTTTCATTGATTGTCTTTAGAAGTCTTTAAAAGTACTTAATTTCCATATGCAGAAATGCGTACAAACCCTGTGTACAGTAGTTAGCAGTAAATTATCTTTTATTTTTCCTTTGAAAGAAATTACATTTATGTTTTCTATATGAATTGCATCAGGCTCTCCCTCCCTTTTTTTAAACCTAATTCGCATAAAATATTTTGGCATTCTTTTTCTAGTTTTATATACAGTTCCACGCACATTTGTTTGGACTGAATTTAAATATTCAGCAAGGGATGGAAAATAAAACATAAATCCGAATATAAATTGTATCCTTTGCCAGTTAAATCTGTTATTAGAGTTTTTCATTATTCATTCAACATAAGCCGCACTGTTAGCCATCAGATTTGTGTCTTTGCCATGGTAAACAAAAAAAATTCCAGATGTATCCAGAATTTGATTTACAAAGTTTGTATATCTTGATACTATAACGGGACCTTTTAGAAGGGACATACTGCCAGAGTCTAAGATGTTCTTTCCATGTGAAAAGTGACTTGTCGATATATATGTTGTATTCAGGTGTATAAATTGTTTTAAATTTGCAAGTTTTTCCAATTTAATCCCAATTTATCTTTTTGTTTTCCCTCTTCTCTCTTCAGTGTTGGAAGTAAAATGCAGAAATCATAACATATTCAGAAAATCATCTCGAGAGGTTACTGTATAGAGTTCTATCATTTCATTAGTTGTGAAATACATTTTGTAGTCAGGTTTTTTAATCATTCCCAGTAGAATAATTAATCCTAGGAATCCTCTAATTTTAGGCACATCTACAAGAGTAAACTTTGCTGATTTTGAAGAAGATGGATTTCACTCATCTTTTTCTCATAGAAATTATTAGTTTCTTCAACTGTTATGCTCATTAGATTATCACCGAAACAAACAGTGAAAATTCAAATCCACTCACATAACTTTTAATTAAAGTTACTCCTGCGATTCCCGTAAATTTATATGACTTCAGCTGCTTAACAAGTCCATGATGAAGTTTCCATTGTTATGCTTGATTATGAGATGGAAGCAAAACAAGCTTCCAATTCAATCTCTGACAAAATTTTAGTATCCAAATTGCTATTCAAATAGTGTTCACTTTCAGAATAGTCACTCATAGGCTCATTTATCATTCAAGTATGTGCTTCTTCCATTTAAAAACATTCTCCTAGATATTGAAATCTTAGTTTAATTCTCTGAACTGACATACAAAACTTATATCTACTATTTAAAGAAGATGTAAACTGAATACAAACGGAAATTCGTAAAACCACATCTCCAGTCCCGAACTCCCCACAGGAAAGAACAAATTTGAAGCATCCGAAACTATCCAACATTTATATCACATGAAGTTACAGTTGTGCATTAGCTGTGTTTTGTTTACTTTTTATCCCCTGCTGTTTCAGCTAAACGATCACCAGGATCAGAAAGTATGTTAGGGACACAATGTCAACAATAAGTAGTTAAAATAAACTATTTGTAATAGACATGAACTATGTTTGTTAGTAAAATGTGTATGTTTGATAATGCATGTAGGATACACCCATCTGGTAGATTAGTGCAGGTGGCAAAGTACTAGTACAGCACCTGGTTGCTGCTGACATTTGGGACTAGCACATGCATGACACACCCAACTCCAGAGGGTTTTCAGTTCAGCAGCATGCTGTCACGAAGGGGTTAAAAGTCATACTTTTTTAAAGTCACTGTATGAATGACAGCTTTGTTGCTGTTACCAGTTGATAAGAAATTTAAGATTTATATTGTAATTTTTATTATAATGATAATTTTGTAACTATAATAGGTGTTTCAAGGTCTTAAAAATTAAATTTTTTACATTCTTTCCAGACCATATATAAGAATTATCAAAGGATCACAGTTCAAGAAAGCCCAGGTAAGGTAGATGCTGGTCGTTTGCCAAGATCTAAAGATGCTATTCTTTTGGGTGATTTGTGTGACACATGCAAACCTGGTGATGAAATTGTGAGTATTGATTTTTAGACTTTTATTTATAAAAGTAATTAATAAATAATTTTGTTTTAATAAAGTGTAAGTCTTTTATAAATTTATTTTTAAAATTATTTTTCTTTCTTCCTTATAGGAGATTACTGGTATTTATTCTAACACTTATGATGGATCATTAAATACTGCCAATGGTTTTCCGGTATTTGCCACAGTCATTCGAGCTAACCACATTGCTAAAAAGGATAAAATTGTATCTCAAGGTTTAACAGATGATGATATTAAAGCTATCATTGCATTATCAAAAGACGAAAGAGTTGGTGAAAGAGTAAATTTTTGTTTTGTGATTTGCATTTGTCTTAACATAAGTAAATTTGTTTTAATAAAGTGATTTGTTAAAGATTATTAGTATTAGTAAAAAATACAAAACTGTATATCGATATTATTGCATTATCAAAATATGAAAGAGTTGGTAAAAATTAAATTTTTATTTTGTAATTTGCATTTCTCTAACTTTTAAGTAAATTTGTCATTTATTATTACTACTACTAATAATTAATTGATTTAGGTGAGATTTTATCAGCATAAATGTTGTTTCATTCTTGTCAAAGTGCTCATAAAGCACATTTTTCTGTTTACTTATTAGAATTTTTCTGGTTTAAAATACTATTTCTATGCAACTTAATAAAGTATTTTTACTACTATAGAAATCTAAATAACTTTTACTTAAAATACTGATTCAAATTTATTCCAGTAATTCATTGCATTAATTAAATTTATGTTCCTTAGAGATAATAATATAATAAAAACTTTCTAACAATAAATTATATATATATATTCTATCGTGTGACCACTATAATATATATATGTTATATATATATATATATATATACACCACACATGTGTATCATGTACCACATATATCAATATATATATATATATATATATATATATATATATACCACATTGTATCGTTTAACCAATACAATATATATATAAGAGCTCAAAATTTGAATAAAGTATAAATTGGTAAAAAATAAAAGGATAGAGGAATTATACAGTTGTTGTTAAGTTATTATTTTTAAAATAACTTCAATAACATGCTATTGAATCTCTCTTTCTACTTATTCCTAATAAAATTAGCACATTCTGAAAAAGATGTGTTTAAGATCATTTATTCTAAGTCTGCTTTTCTTATTTTAGATAATAGCAAGCATTGCACCATCTATATATGGACATTATGATATAAAACGAGCTATAGCACTCTCAATTTTTGGAGGAGAAGCTAAAAATCCAGGTAACAATTTAGAATTATTTATTGACAGATGTAGAAAAATATAATAATTTATAATACATCTATTGTGAGAAGCTGCTTTTTGGCATGTTCTCCTAAATAAGCTTATTGAGTTACTACAAGCTTAATGCATTATTTCACAGATGAAATGTAATGATGGATGTAGGAAAGTATAAAAAGGCATAAATAATATGAATGTTGTAAAAAGCTGTTCCCCCCCCCATGTTCTTCAGAACAATCTTTTTGAGTTATGATAAGTGTCTCTGTAATGCATTGTTTCAGAATTGAAATGTAAAATTGTACATTCTAAAATTAAATATTTTTCAATTGTGAAGTGAGACAGCTTATGCAGTAGTCATTAACGGTGTGGATTAAACAGGCAACTGCATAGAAAATTAAATTTAAGAAGCACACATTTAATAGAAAAAGTTATAAGAATAAACTATTGTATTTTATTTACGATACAAATATGTATATTTTATTATTTCCTTCAGTACTGCAATTTGAAGGCAAGTAAAAAGAAAGACAGCACAGAATGGTATCTCTCTAAATGCAATTTTTTTTTTTCTGAAATGTTGGTTTGTTTGCATTTAATATGTGCACACACATGTAAAAAAAAAAAAAAAGTTTGCTATATTATTCTAATAGTAGATTGTTTTATTACTTGTACACTGTGTCACAAAATTTTTAAATAAACATCTAGATGACACAGTATATTGATCATATGCTATTTTCAACTTTACAGTCTGTGCTCTGAAATGTGAATGAAAGTAAAAATAGTGGCAATTAACTGATACACAATATGTTAAGTATAGTCTACTATTTAAGATTATGGCTGATATTCTGCTATGTTTCATTTTGAAGTTAAAGTAGTCTTGGGACCATTTCTTTTGTTTCATTCCAAAAAAAGCTTAAATGTTAGTTCAAATATCGTTTTAGTTACATGAAACTTAATGCTGTCAGTTCATTTATCTGAGGAAAATTGTATTAATTTTCAACAGAAGAAAAATCGAAGATTAGCTGAAATTACAATTTATGCTACATGCAAAAATGTTTCATTACTTGCAAAGGGAAAAAATGGTTGTTGAAACTGGCCTTGTTCTGAGCATAAATCTTACTAGTAGCACTTTTTTTCGCCACTGATTACACAGTTTGCTCACTTGCTATTATGTTTCAAATCATTTTGCCTAGCCAGTGGGGGGTTATCTACTATTTAGTCAACTACAGCCTAAAGGTAGAGTGAGTAAGTCAATCAGACATTTAATTCTCTATATTAGTTGAATTAACAATTATAGTTTACAGATTCAGTTCTGTGAACATTCATCTTTAATATTTAAAGTGCTTTCTTTTAGAGGTAAGGTCACAAGTTTTCTGTGAGCTAAATACTGCAAGTTTGCTTACCCAGTTTAATGAATGCTGAGTTGTTATTAAGACATTTATTATAAAGAACAGTTTTGAAAACAAGTCTCACTTTCTACACACTCCCACTCCTGAAAAAGCAGGAGGAAAGTGAAACTTTGACCATTTCAGGTTAATATGTATACATATGACATAATTATTTGAAATTTAATGTAATAAAAAACACACTTTTATGTGTCACATATTCTTACCCTTGTTTTCTGATAGTGCTGAATGCTCTTGCCCAGGCAGGCATTGCAATACAAGGTAGTTTTAATCATAGTAAATACTCATAGCAAAAAATGGGAAGTTTGTGCTGCATGCAATACTATTTCAAATGAAATCCAATAATTAAACTTAAAAATTAATTTTATAATGCATGATTCAGGTTACTGTACTATTTATAATATGATTTTGATGCAAAGTACAATAAACACCCAATTAACATGAATTGGCTTAAGGCAAACACTGGATTAAGATGAAATGGAAAATTTTGGTCCCAGTGATAATGATGATCATATAAGAAGATTTATCGCTTAACGCCTATTTTGGTTATCGTGAATTAAGAACTGTTTTTATATTCCATTGTGTCATTAGATTTTTTTAATTTAGCATGAACTTTCAAAGTTATTTATAATTTTTCCTGTAATTTCTCTGCTAGGGCTACATTCAAAAATGTTCTATAACGCTTAATTGAAGACCTCACAGAGTACTCTTTATTCTTTCTAAATAAGCTTCAGCCAGCATGAGTAATATTGCTCAATAATCATGATCATCCTGTCAACAATGAGCTTCATTCAACAAATGCACTTCTGTGTTCAGATGTGCTTTTTATTTTTTCAAAGTTAGCTAATACAACTAATGTTAAATTTTGAATAATTTTTAATTGAGATATTATGAACTCTGGTCTTTTGAGGAGCTTGTTAGTGCAGGTAACGATGTTGTGCATTCTGATGTGTGTGTTTCTGTGAAATTAGTTACGTGTGAAGTGCAAGATATGTTATCAGGACAATATCATTCTGCCCACCCGCCAGGAAGTGTTAGATGCCATGAATACTTTAGAATATTTTACTGTAACATCCGAATTGACTGCTAGTTTTATGGAAGCTGTGAAGTTATCCCTGTCTGCAACTGTGCATTTGTTTACATCAGCAACAAAGAAGTATACAGGAAATTTTCACCAGAAAATGTTTAGTGGGTACAAGTTTCAAGTTATAGTACAGTTATTAATGTAATAGTGCAGTGTTTTCTATGATAGCATGCACAATATAATGTTGTAGTTATGTATGTACCTATCTACTGTAAATGGTTAATGTTTAGAACACTATTCCAAAAATAAAATGTGAGCCCCAGTTAACACGAACCCTTGATTTTTCAGTCCCTTTGGGATTCATGTTTATGAAGGTTTACTGTATAACTAGATATTCTACATTTTGTGTTCTTAGGATAATTTAATTTTGTAATTTTCCAACACTTTTATACCAAAAAAATATTGATTAGGCAATTAAGTTTTAATTTATGGAATAAATTACTTTCATACTTAATGGAAATAAAACTGACAATTAATATACCAACTGCTATGTAGATAAACTTACTAATTTTACCGCAATTGATGTAAAATAAAATAATATGTAAATATTATCTGATTAAACTTGAATGCTGTTATGAATTATCTGATTAAACTTGAATGCTGTTATGAATCTTCATAAAAATATCTGGAGTAGATTAAGACAATTCAGGTCAAATAAAATTTAAGAACATGAATGTACATAAATGAACATGATGAAAAAAATTTAATAAATTCATTTAATAGATAATGCAATTTTTGAAAATAACACTTCTTATCCAGTGTAATGACATAGTACTTAACTTTGCTACTCTGTAGAAATGTCACTATTAGTAGTAAATGAAATTGTTTTTGTCTAAAATATTTTTTTAAAAAATCAACTTTTATTATTATTTTTCAGTTGTTAAACAAGGCATTTAATTGGTTAACAAATATTTGGAGATGGTGGTTGCTAGCTTCCTAACTTGAATTAAATTTGACTGGAGTGCAGTACCATCTGTGTGCTATGCAAATGCAAACTTTCTGTACTTAAGATGTCATTGATATGGGTTAAATAACAGGAAAACCAAGAGGGAATTTTAAGCGGCCCCTATTTTGATCTGTTTAATAGTAGAAAGAGTAGTGACTATATGTACTTTACCAATCTGATGTAATATAAGTAAGACATGGTAATGTTTTAGCTTTGGACTATGTTAAATTTTCATGTTCTAGCTGTGATGTATATACAGTTATTTCTAATATTTTTGTCTGTGACAAATCTAAAAAAAATTATTACTTGGATAACAAATGTATGCATTTCAATAATATAACTACTATAGTATTCATTCTAAGTCGATTTTAGGTTATTGCAATTAATCAAACATTCTTTAATGAATTTATTTAAAAATATTCTTATTTCATAGGACAAAAGCATAGAATTCGAGGTGATATCAATATATTAATATGTGGTGATCCAGGTACAGCTAAATCTCAGTTTCTAAAGTATACAGAAAAAATTGCCCCTCGAGCAGTTTTCACAACTGGGCAAGGTGCATCTGCAGTTGGTTTAACTGCGTATGTACAACGAAGTCCTGTCACTAAAGAGTGGACTCTAGAAGCGGGTGCATTGGTTTTAGCTGACAAGGGTGTGTGCATAATTGATGAATTTGATAAGGTAAATAACAAATGAGTGCTTTTTGATTAAAAATCTTTAATATTCAAAAGATTAATTACTGCATGTTCACGAATACCAAGCGCAGGTGTTTTTTTTTTTGATAATTTTAATCGGAAAAATCAAGGTGCGTAACTTACATGAAACAAAGCAATATAGGCCAGGTAAATGCAAGTTGATCGCCATAAATTATTTCTCCTTGAAGCTATGGTATCCCCAGAAAATATAAAGTTATATTATGCTATTATACCCTCTCAAATAACAAATCTTGGCCAGGGATTTGTAGAGAATATACTGGTACTTTCACCAACTGTTATTCTCTGAATGGTTTTTGCCGAACTCGACTTCTTAGCCATAACATTGGCAACAGCACTGCAGCTCAGCTGATAAGAAAAAAGGAATTACGGTACATAAACCAGTTCCAAGATAAAAGCAGGGGAGGGGGTTGTTTTTGTCATTTCAGAACCAGTATCTGTTACAGGTGACTGAAGCTGCAGCGTTTGGAGAGAAAACTCATATCATGAGGACAAAGAACCTCTAAGTTCCATAGAATCTTCTTAACGTTTCTTTGGCGAGCAAAAGCAAAACTTGCATTTCAACAGAAGAACATACAATAGTTTAATTGGCAACTGGAAATAAAGAAATACAAAATGACTGAAGCTATTGTTTAACGAATAAAATTTTATATAACATACTTAGATTAGCAGTTCTTTTATTTCTGCCGTAGAATTAAATACTGCTAACCGATTTATTCCTTCCCATTAAAATGTTAGGTTGCTATCACATACAATATTTGTTGCAGGGACATAACATTAGAAGGAATAATTCTGGGAAGTGAGCTTGTAGTGGAACATAATTTAATGTTTCTATGTAGTTATTAAGATTTCCTAAGTGGCAACATGATGTAATGTTTTGAATAGTTATTAAGATTTCCCGTGTGGCAATAACGAGTCGAGCAAAAAACGTTGTTACTTGGGAGTGTTCCTTGATAAGCATTGCGTAAGCTTTATTTTCTTAAAAGTTTGTTAAATTTTTATGTAAAAAATAAGTAACATATTGCAAACAAAAATGGAAATTGTTAAATTAATATACTGTATCTTTTAAGACCAAAATAAACATTTATTTCACTTATGAAATGCTCTGGCTGATCAGTTTCGATTTCACTTATTCATCAAATCCACATTAAAAGATTGGTGACCATCTTTTAATCATCACATTAAAAGATTGGTGACCATCCATTGGATTATGGAAGGAACATCAACGCTGGAAACTTGCAAGGTGAGTGTTAAAATTCCACCTTTTTGCCCAAAAAAGCTTGAAATTTGGTTTTTTCAAATAAAAGCTCAATTCGAAATTAATGCCATAACTGTTGATAGTACTAAATTTAAATATGTAGTATCTCAACTAGAGCGAAAATATGTTGAAATTATTTGAGATATCATTACAGATAAAACATCTGATAATAAATATGCCTTAGTTAAAGAAAGACTGTTAAACACATTCAAAGAGGGCGAAAATAAGCAAATTAAGCGCTTAGTCACTGGCCTTGACCTTGGGGATATGAAACCCAGTCAGTTACTTCAAAAAATGAGATCGCTCGCTACTGATGACATTTCAGAAAGTACTCAAAACATTGTGGTTAGAAAAAATGCCTGACTCAGTAAAAAATGTTTTACTGGTTTTTGATGAAGGGTTAGGCAAAATAGCTTTAATGGCCAAAAAATAATGGAAATGAATTCTAAACCTGAAATTTATTCCACTGGCAAAAATTTAAATTCGGTTGATGAGTTACTGTAGTGGAAGTGAAAACATTGTTGCAGATCAGTTATCAAGAATAGCCAATGTCTCTATTTCACTCATTTATTGATAAAATTGCTGACAAACAAGTTAATGATAAAGAATTACAAGATTTACAAGCTCAAAATAAAACATTAAGTTTCAAAAGTTATTTACTTCCATCTGGTAAAAATCTGTGGTGTGATACATCTTCTAACATTAGACCATTTATACCCAAGCAGTTTAGAATGGATATATTTCAATAAATCCATGGCCTCGCTCATCCAGGAATCAAGTCGACCGTTAAAGAAATGACGTCCAAATTTATTTGGCCAAATATCAAAAAGGATATACAAACATGGAGTCGTGTCTGTATTGGTTGTCAAAAAAAAATAAGGTTTCACATCATACAAAGTCTGAATTAGGAACTTATCAGCAGCCTGATGAACGTTTTACTGTAGTTCACATTGACGTAATAGGTTCTTATTCACCATCTGATAAATTTTTGTATTGCTTGACTTGCATTGATAGCTATACTGGTTGGATGGAAGCCATTCCTTTGCGTGACATAACAGCAGAAACCGTTGCCAGAGCTTTTTATGAACATTGGATCACTCATTTTGGAGTTCCTTACCAAGTTATTACGAATCGTGGAGTACAGTTTAATTCTGAACTATATCGAACCTTGGCAATTATATGTGGAGTCAAAATGCAACACACAACTTCCTATCATCCACAGTGTAATGGCAAAATTGAGAGATTTCATTGAACTTTGAAAGCTGCTATCAAATGTCATAATTCCATTAAGTGGTCCAAATCCATTCCAACAATTCTTCCAGGTCTTAAAAGAAGACTCTGGATATTCCATTGCACAAATGGTTTACGGAAAAACAATCAAACTTCCTGGAGAATTTTTTGATAAACCAACAGTTTCTACAACACCTCAAACATTTTTGCATAAATTGCAAAAACAAATGGAATTGTTCAAGCCCTCTGCGGTACAGCGAAAAATGATTCCTAAAGTTTTGTCCTTAAAGATCTAAATGTATGTACTCATGTTTTCCTAAGAACTGATAGAGTCAAGAAACCATTAGAACCTAGTTATGAAGGACCCTTCAAAGTACTTAAAAGAATAGAATCTGAGACCAATGATGAATGACTCGAGTCTCACGAACTGGACGACTAATATAACGTCCTTTACGTTTTAGTCACCATGTTGAATATTTTCCCTAACCTCTATTATTGAATATGTTTAATTGTAATTGTGTTTATTTATTGTATTTAGTATTTTTAATACTCCACTACCAGAATATCTTAAATCGTAATACAGTTACTGGAGGGGGAGTAACGTAGTGGAACATAATTTAATGTTTCTATATAATTATTAAGATTTCCTAAGTGGCAACATGATGTAATGTTTTGAATAGTTATTAAGATTCGCCGTGTGGCAACAACCAGTCGAGCAAAAAATGTCGTTACTTGGAGTGTTTTCCTTGATAAGCGTTGCGTAAGCTTTATTTCTTAAACGTTTGTTATATTTTTATGTAAAAAATAAGTAACATGTTGCCAACAAAATGGCAATTGTAAAAATAACTCTGGCTGATCAGTTTCGATTTTGCTTATACATAAAATCCACAAGCTTCTGTGAAATGAGGTTACTTCTTCACTTGGTAAACAGGCTGAAAGCCAAACAAGAATCGGTTATCGCTCAAATTGGCGAAAGTGACGTTTCCTTTCAAGTGACGATTTGCTTTTCTGTGTTGTATTTTGTATTGCTCACAGTCTTTTCGTTTTAAACTTTATTGTTAGTTATGGAAAAAGGTAGAAAGGTGATGGCTATTAAGTAAAATCAATTTTATCTTGACTCTGGTGATTCTGAAAGCTAAAGAGAAAAAATATGCAAAGAGAAGTTTGTGATGAGTCAAACATTTTTATTTCATCCCCAAAATGTTAAATATTTCATAAAGATTACTTGCTCAATTTTTTTTGTTTAAATTCCCAAGTATAGTTACAAATGCAAAGGTTTTGTGTAAGTGGGCGAATTTTAATGACTTGCCTAATGCACAGAATGCTCTTCAATTATTTCTCAACTGTGTATTCCATATCCATGATAATGTGCAAAGAACTGATGAGAACATTTGCTGACAATTACATAATCGTTATATCTTCAAATAAACTTTCTGGCAATGTACATTTTTTATTCATACACACACGCATCTAATAAGTTCTATATTTACCTAGACATAGCGAAAGAGATGCGATGGTTAAGAAGTTGTTGATGTATGTTTATTAGTATTAATGTAATAAATATGATTTTTAGTAATGAATGTATATACAAATGTTTTTCATTATTCATTATGACGAATAATTTGTGAACAAATCATCAGAAATAGCACGTCATAAAATATTGTCTACTCTGAAATTTCCACAATTATAAGTTTAATGAATATATAAACATTTAAAAATGACTTAGACAGTTATACTACAACAAAACAGCAATATATATATATATAGGGCTTTTTCCATATTTCTTCAATTAAATCGGCATATATTTGCACCATCCATGATTTCACAGTGAGAGCCATCGCCATATTGAAAACTACTCGTGATCCTTCAGAAGCAGAACTTTCGTCTGATTGGTTGACCTCTACGTGGAACACGGCTCTAGACAGAACATTTCCGGAAAAGTTTCAACATTTTTCGTCTAGCTAGATGAAACATTTCTCAGAATCCTCCAGTTTTTAAACCATTGCTACTAGAATCTTGTTTCCCGGAAATGTTCCGCCTAGCTGCATGCGTCGATAGAAGTGATAAGGGTCTTACTGGGCATGTGTTGCTATATACTTAGGCAGGAGCTGGAGGTGGCAGCTCAGATTTCTTTTCTGATAACAGTCAATTGGCATCATATTTCTTTGTTTCTTTATGTTTGTAATGCAGAAAATTTTTTTTCCTGTAAATTAAGTTTTCAGTGGGCTTTATGAAAATATGCATGCCATATTCGCAAACATTTCTTTCTTTTTTGGTGCATCGAAAAAAATCGGGTACACGTCTTATTTGGTGGCGTGTGGTATTCGTGAACATATGGTAATTAATTTTAATTTATCGTCAAGTTTGATTTCAAATAAACATATTTAAAGTATTCATTTATTATTGAAAATAGATTTGGATCTTAAATAAATAGATCACTCATATAAATAACAAAATGTTCTTTTAATAAGTCTACTTACTACATATACATATTTATAATTCTATAAACTCTTCTGTTACCACTTTGAAGAAGCAAAACTAACAATAATTATTAGTGGCCAAAAGCCATTAAGTAAATAAAATTAAATGAAAATATGTATAAAATACAAATTACATGTCATCTGAAAGCCAGCAGTATACATACATACAAGTTACTGTTTGAGAATAATAATACCATATTTCTGTTTGTTACAAATTATCACCTTGCTTGTAACATTTTCATACATTATATAGAGATATGTTTTTGCGACTGAAGTATATTACTTGTGTTGTATTAACATTAATGTGTAGGTATGATGTTAAAATCATGAAGATTGTTTAAGCTATAAAAATTGTGATCAGCTGTTTGTTTTAAAACAAAATTTTTATTACTCTTATTTTATCACTTTAATTAAAGATGTATTACATGTTTGAGTAGAGTTATTAATAAATAATTTTACGTGCATAGAATTATGAAGACTGTACATTGAACTGTTGTTTCATCTGGTGTTTGAATGTTAATATCCATAAAGTATTTCTGAATAAAAAATGTCTTTTATGAAATCTATTAAGTGTTTAAAATTTTATATATTTTTGTAAATAAGATATCTTAAAAATATTTTGTAACTTAGTAAATTCTATAAAAGCTTGTTTATCTTAATTCATTTATCAGATGAATGATCAAGACCGAACAAGTATTCATGAAGCCATGGAACAACAAAGTATCTCAATTTCAAAAGCTGGTATTGTGACTTCATTACAAGCTAGATGTGCTGTCATTGCAGCAGCTAATCCTATTGGTGGTCGATATGACCCATCACTCACATTTTCTGAAAATGTAAGTCAAAATTTCAACATTTTCTATGTCTATGCTCTTTAACATCACTTTTGTGCACTTAGATCAAGAAATATGTAAAACTACAGCTGAATATTCATCTACATAGTAAATTGCATGTATCACCTTTTTTATAGAATAAGTGCAATAAGAATATAAAAGTATGATTATAAAGGCAATTTTACTTGTTTGCATATTGTTAGGTGTATTAAGTAAGCACTTTTTTTTCTTCCCCTATTTTTGAAACCAAACTATACTGCCTGATATCTTTTATGGGGGGGGGAAGGGATATTTAAGATTTCTGTGTAATTTTATTTAGATATTTTAACATAAATAGTAATTATTTTACTTTATATGCTCCAGGTAGATTTAACGGAACCAATTTTGTCACGTTTTGATATTTTGTGCATTGTTCGTGATCAAGTTGATCCTGTTGAAGTAAGTAAAAATTATTTTAGCAAATTTATAATTATCTGATTAAATAGCATTCTATTAAAGATATACTACTATGCAATTATTCTTTAAGGATCGACAGTTAGCAAAATTTGTTATCCAGAGCCACGTGAATCATCATCCGGCAAATGAAGATAAAGATAAAACAACATTTCCTGTAATGGTGAGTATTACTTTATAAGCTTGTTATAGATTGCTGAACAATAAGATTTCATGTGTAATACATAAATTGTTGGAAGGAAAATGTATTATATAACTCAAATATACGATAAACTGTAAAATTTAAACATAACTTTTATTATTACAATAAATTAACAGTTTAAGCTACATGTATGCATAAAGTGTGTACACTGGGAAACACTTTGAATGTTACTGTTTGTAAGTTAACGGTAAAGCATCTACATATTTTGTTCTGTAAGGTCCCATTTTCTCTTTTGAAATACAGGGTGTTTTAAAAAGAATGATCTAGTTTCAAATAATTATATTTGAGAACAAAAATTTGCTACAGTTAGAGAACTAATTATCATTTATTAAATAAGCTCTTAAGTTTTATTCACGAGAATTATTACATGCCATACATGTCGTCCACTTGTAGCATGAATAATGTCAAGATGATTTCTGAATTTATGCTAGATACTTCTAGGGGTGTTTCATTCTGCAGAATTTACTGCAACTCTCAGTTTGTTTATGAACATATCTAAAACAGCGAGTAGTGTTGAAACAGCACATTCTTTCACATATACCCAGAAGAAAAAGGTCACATTGTATAATTCCTGGAGATCTAGTGGCTAATAGTGTAGTGCCAGACTTTGAGCCCTGTGCTGGTGCAAAGAGAGAATATAGATGGTGCTGCTTGGCAGCAGAATGCATGAATGAAAAGGAAGTTCCATATTGGTTAATTAGGCAGTATAATCCCCAGAAAGTTGGTACACATTAATAATAAGACTAGTGTATATATGTATATATGAAGGATTATGAAAAATAAATTAGAAAAAAAACCACCCGAGGTTTGGTGTTCTTGTTCAAGCTGTCTTTGTTTTAATGCTGTTTTTATGTATGCATCATTTCCATAATAAGTTGATGTCTTATTTAGGAACCAACAGCCCTTTGAAATTTCAGGCCATTGGCTGTTCAAATTGAAGAAGTTTAATTCAATAATGATGTGCAGTTGCCCAGATTAAGATTTTATAATTGGGTCATTCTTTTTGAAACTAAGTATATTATGATAACTGTTATGTGTATCTAAAGTTTCTAAAGTGGCTGTTACATGTCATAGATATATTGAGAAATATTTCAAATCATGCACCATAAACAGAATACACTTATTTTTTTCCCTAAGTTATGAAAAAAATGCACATATATTGCAAAAGCAGTATTTAAATATTGTTAAAAAATTAAGCTAATTAAAGTACAAAAATCAGCTATAGCTATACTACAAGCAGGGCTAATAGATTTTAAGATTAAAAAAAAAAAGCCACAATTTTTTCAAGGCCAGTTTTTTGTAATTTTTTCCCTTTTATATAAAAGGCTAAATACTACAGTAAAAAGTCTTTAATCCGGACTCGTCGGGACTTTGGCAATTCCGGATTATCGGTTTTTCCAGATTATAGATCATCAGTTTAAATCTGGTAAAATGGCATGCAGAAAGTATAAATTAAAAATATGAAACCATAATTTCTTAAATAAAGAACAATTATGATCTAAAGGGTATCAAAATTTATGAAAAAAAAAGCTTAATATTTATTTGTTTACTTTATTAAACATTTCTTTCAACGCGCGCATGCGTAAAGCAGACATTATGCATTGTCGAAATTAGAAAATTGCAACCAGAAAACTATTTGATGTGTATTCGTAATATTTATAATGACGAGGAATTTGATTTAAATCATATCAAAGACGGAGTACAACGAGATGAAATACTATATTTAGAAAGGAATTATAAGCCGAATAAAATAAAAACATCTGCCCTGAAGATAAGGATAGTGCTGACAGATCAACTTCCAGTTCATTGCAAGCCGTGATGTCCCCCCCCAGAGAAGCATGAAATTGATAAACAGATTTCGGAATGGTTAGAGAAACAAATCACCTCTCTGTCACTTTCTTCATGCCTTTATCCATTTTTTGCAGCAATTCCATTTTTTGTTTGATGGACATCAAAATATGCTTTCGCTTTGTAGATCCTTCGGCAGCTCCAGAATCGGAAATTCTTTTTGACATAATCGAAAGTTCAAGCTTACTTTTATAAAATTGCTCTAACAGTCTGCAAAAAATAATAAGCTGCATCCAATTAGAAGATTAAGGAACAACACAATCTGCAACATTAACTGAAATAGATAATTTTAGCTTAGTTTATACCGTCCGTTATACATTAAACGTGCATGCGTAAAGGTAGTATACGTTTACGCATGCGCAGAAAGTTTGTAGCTTTGAGGTCCGTATTATAGATCATTCCAGATTATGGACGTCCAGATTAAAGACTTTTGACTGTATTTTAATTTTGCACATACGAAATATTTCAATTGAAGCAAGACATTTTTTATATTTAATAGCCAACATAAAAAATTATAAATTGTGGTGAATGGTGAATTTTAATTGAGGAAATAATATCTTTTTCTTCACTCAATCTTGTTCTTATGAACTTTCACCAGTCATTTAAAACCAGACTTTGCACATCTTATCCAGGTTATCTGCTTTCTTTGTACCTGAGCAGTTTCTCATTTTGTTGGTTTGTGCATTAGCACTGAAGGCGTAATGAGTAAATTTCCTCAGGCACAGTTTTCATTAAAGAATTACAAGTCAAAAAATTAACTACGAAATCTTTATTTAATAAAATAGAAGAATTTTGCTTAACTTAAGCATAACAAAAAGTAATAATCTTCACAGACATTAAAACACTGAATTATCGAAAAGGAGCTAACTTATATATATACAAATATAAGTCACACATCTTCAAGCGTACCTATTTAGGCAATAAGAAAAAATCTGATGTGTACACCACATGACTTCCTTGTATTGGAATATTAAATTATGCGCATTTTTTCCTGCATTTCATTTAAACTTATTGGATTGAACTAAATCTACTACGCCGACAGTGCATAAACCACAATAGAATAAATGCATTCTTTAAAATTCACTCTAGTATATGTTTACCATAGCAACACTCTGGCGCTAGATTCACTTAACAGTATTAATAATTATATAACAGTTAACTTATATAATAATTATATAACGGGAAAAAAGTTAACTGTTATATAATCCAATAATTATATAACAGTTAACTTATATATTTCGTTCATATTATAACTCATAATGCACAAAATTTATATCATTTAAAGAATAGAATTATCTAATCGTTGCCACATGTTCTATTCAAATACTATAATAAAGCTAGAATGCTGTATAAAAGAAATTAAGCAAACAAAACAAAAAAGAAACAGTTTTTCACAGACAATTGAGTATTTCTCATTCAGTTAATTCAGTTCTCACTTTGCGAGAACGCAGAAATACATAAAAACTCAAAATATCTATATTAAAAATTACGAAGTAAATCTCAAACACTTATTTCCTCGAAAAAATTCCAGAAAGAATTAAGCATGATTTAATTGGCAATAATAAATAAATGCGTTATCTTTGTTGTTGCGAAGCTAATTTTTTCTAGATTTGCAACAAATCCACTAGTCTCCTGTTTCAAATGTAAACATCAATGGTCGCCATTAAAAAAAGGCTTAGCGGCAATTAAACAACTTTAAAATTGCTGATAATTCTAAAAATATTGCACACAGATTTACTAAAGGCATAAAATCCTTAACCGGAAGATAAAAACAACATAATTCAATCATTTTTAAAGCAAAAAAAGGTACAATTTACAAACATATAAGAGTAAAGAAACTGAGATCATTGAGCCGGGTAACAGAGTGGATATATATATAAATATATTTATATAGGTTTGGTGCGGCCGATAGCAACCAAAATACGAGGAGCACATCTACATGTTATAGCAGTCCTATATACCAAATTTCAACATTCTGAGGCTACTCGTTTTTGAGTTATGCGGGATACGTACGTTCGTACAGATGCCACGAAAAATTCTCTTCAGAATTACTTTTAAAGCTGTTTTATAATTTTTTTGAAGGAAAAGACGATTTTATTCTGTCTTTACGTACAGATATCACGCAAAAACATCATTAAATTGCATTCGATAGCGGTCAAAATGGATATTTTCGTTGAAATATGCTGTCTGAAACTTTTCGTGATTACAATACTTCCTTTTTACTTCGTACAAGGAAGTAAAAACAGGAACATACTTTGACACCATACCTGAAAAGAGAAAGTACTAACTGAATTAGACCTTTGGCCGTGATATAAGTAGCTAGGGTGAAAATCAAATACACTGCACGTAGCTAAGGTGAAAGTCAAATATACTGCATTGCACGCGAACTTTACTTTCTCTCGCCAATATATATCTTGGCACACGTTCCTTTCGTATGCCTTTCAAGTTTCATTATGCAAAATACCTAAATTTATGCTAACACATTTTGCTCTATTTTTAGCCATAAGTTGAGAAAATTATGTTAATCGAAACAGATTAGAAAGACAATGGAGTATATATATATTTTTTTTATAAAGCTGCGAAAGTCTGTAGCCAGTTTTCATGTTTGATGTTGTTTTCATGTTTCATGTTTCTGTGTCTTTTATTTTCATTTTGAGTTTCACTTTCCAGTTTGCCATTACTTTTCATAATGATTTCAGGTGGATTGATTCAGAAAAAATACTGATGTTATTTAGAATATGTCCTATTTCCAACTTATATTCTTGCAAATGCTTTATGTGTATTTCCTTATAATTATAAAAGTTAGCATCATATGTTTTGATGGCGCTTTTTGTTAATTTCATCTAATATCATTTTGAATTTGAGGCATTAATCCATTTTTTTTTCTTAGCCAACCATAAGCATTATATTTTATTTTTAAAGATTATCTGTATTTGTAAAACATCTTAAAATCTCTTGACATATTCTTCAGAATAGGCTTAATATGTATGCTTAATATCCATGTGTCAGAAAATCAGATTTCCACTGTTACTTTTCCTGCAAAAAAAGCATAGTATTCCAAATTCCCCACTGCCACAATTAACTGATTTAAATAGCTAAGTCTTTTTCATCAG